TCCTGCCCACACACACAGGAGTACTCCCCATCATCTTCCACAGCCAGGCCACAGATCTGCAGCTCACACACAGTCCCATCCTGCCTGAGTTTGTGTCTGTCCCCATCTCTGAGGGTCTTTGTTCCCTTCCTCCACTCCACAGGGGCCACCTTGCTCAGTTCACACCGCAGTGTGGCTGTGGCCCCTTCTGTGGCCTCTTTGCTTCTCATGTCTTCTATGAACCTGGCAGGCATAGCTGGGAAAGACCAAGTAATCACTGAGAACACGTGAACGCTGTGCACAGGACACAGAACACACACACACACACACACACACACACACACACACACACACACACACCTGAAGGACCACATGAACAGGTATATGAAGGTATAGATGTTGAGGGAGAAAAATGACTCAAGTAACACTGAAGGCCAAGGGGTGGACGTGAACATAAGAACATCTCCTGGACAAGAAAAGGAGGTGGGAAATGCCCAGGACAGATGACCACAAGGTCACTACAACTATGCCACACGTGGAGGAAGTAGTAGCTGTGTAGACACCAAGCCACAGGTTCATGTGACCACACACAATCCACACACAATCTTTACCCTTAATGGCCAGTGTAGCTGAAGTCCTCTCCTGCCCACACACGCAGGAGTACTGTCCTGCATCTTCCACGGCCAGGCCACGGATCTGCAGCTCACATACAGTCCCATCCTGTCTGAGGCTGTATCTGTCCCCATCTCTGAGGATTTCTTTTCCCCTTCTCCACTCCACAGGGGCCATCTTACTTAGCTCACACCGCAATGTGGCCGTAGCCCCTTCAGTGGACTCTTGGCTTTTCAATTCTTCTATGAATCTGGCAGGAAGGACTGAGAAGGAGCAAGCAGAGAACACAGGACTGTTTGGATAGTTTTGCTTAACACATGAAATCCACAAAGCCACATACACTGCCAAAGGACCACATGAATAGGTAACTGATGATAGTTACTAAGAACATGGGAACACTGTGCACGGGACACAGAAAACACACACACACACACACACACACACACACACACACACTGCTAAAAGACCACGTGAACAGGTGAATGAAGGTGCAGATGGTGAGGGAGGAAAATGTCCCAAGGAATACAGAAGGCCAAGGGGTGGATGTTAATATGAGAACACTTCCTGGACAAGAAGAAAAGAAGGTGGGAGTTTCCCAGAGGACCCTGGTTACAGGACAGATGGCCACGGGTCACCACATATGGAGCACAGAGCAGTGCTGAGAGACAACATGTAGACACCAAGCCACAGGTTCTGTGGCCACACACGATCTTTACCCTTAATGGTCAGTGTAGCTGAAGTCCTCTCCTGCCCACACACACAGGAGTACTCCCCATCATCTTCCACAGCCAGGCCACAGATCTGCAGCTCACACACAGTCCCATCCTGCCTGAGCTTGTGTCTGTCCCCATCTCTGAGGGTCTTTGTTCCCTTCCTCCACTCCACAGGGGCCACCTTGCTCAGTTCACACCGCAGTGTGGCTGTGGCCCCTTCTGTGGCCTCTTTGCTTCTCATGTCTTCTATGAACCTGGCAGGCATAGCTGGGAAAGACCAAGTAATCACTGAGAACACGTGAACGCTGTGCACAGGACACAGAACACACACACACACACACACACACACACCTGAAGGACCACATGAACAGGTATATGAAGGTATAGATGTTGAGGGAGAAAAATGACTCAAGTAACACTGAAGGCCAAGGGGTGGACGTGAACATAAGAACATCTCCTGGACAAGAAAAGGAGGTGGGAAATGCCCAGGACAGATGACCACAAGGTCACTACAACTATGCCACACGTGGAGGAAGTAGTAGCTGTGTAGACACCAAGCCACAGGTTCATGTGACCACACACAATCCACACACAATCTTTACCCTTAATGGTCAGTGTAGCTGAAGTCCTCTCCTGCCCACACACGCAGGAGTACTGTCCTGCATCTTCCACGGCCAGGCCACGGATCTGCAGCTCACATACAGTCCCATCCTGTCTGAGGCTGTATCTGTCCCCATCTCTGAGGATTTCTTTTCCCTTTCTCCACTCCACAGGGGCCATCTTACTTAGCTCACACCGCAATGTGGCCGTAGCCCCTTCCGTGGACTCTTGGCTTTTCAATTCTTCTATGAACTTGGCAGGCAGGGCTGGAAAGGGCCAAACAGCCACTGAGAACATGGGGCTCTTAAACGGACTCTGCACAGGCACGGAACACACAAGGAGACACACACTGCCAAAGGACTATGATGTGAACAGGTGAATGAAGGCACAGACAGTGGGGGAAACAAGCACCCAGGGAAGTATAGAAAGGGCAGCTAATGGAAATAAACATGAAAACATCTCCTGAATGAGAAGGGGAGGTAGGAGATGCCCAGAGGATCCTGGTTACAGGACAGATGACCACAAGATCACCATAGCTGTGCCACATGTGGAGGCAGAAAACAGTAGACATGTAGATACATGTGTAAGTCACAGATTTATAGGTCACACATGGTCTTTACCCCTGATGGTCAGCATGGTCCAGGTCTTCTCCTGTCCACACATGCAAGAGTACTCCCCAGCATCTGCCATAGTCAGACCAAGGATCTGCAGCTCACACACAGCCCCATCCTGCCTCAGGCTGTATCTGCCTCCATCTCTCAGAACCTCTTTTCCCTTTCTCCACTCCACAGGGGCCACCTTGCTCAGTTCACACCACAGTGTGGCTGTCGCCCCTTCTGTGGCCTCTTCGCTTCTCATGTCTTCTATGAACCTGGCAGGCATAGCTGGGAAAGACCAAATAGTCACTGAGAACACGTGAACGCTGTGCACAGGACACAGAAAACACACACACACACTACTGAAGGACTGCAACCTGAACAAATGAATGAAGGTGCAGATGATAAGGGAGGCAAATGTGCCCTGAGGAACAGAGAAGGCCAAGGGATGGACATGAATATGTCCTCCTTCTGGACAAAGAGAAAGGGCAATGCCCAGAGGGTCTTGTCCTAGAACAGATGGTCTCAGGGTCACCACAACTGTGTCACATGAGGCGGAAAGTAGCAGACATGTAGACACCAAGCCACAGGTTCATGTGACCACACACAATCTTTACCCTTAATGGTCAGTGTAGCTGAAGTCCTCTCCTGCCCACACACACAGGAGTACTCTCCTGCATCTTCCATGGCCAGGCCACAGATCTGTAGCTCACATACAGCCCCATCCTGTCTGAGGCTGTATCTGTCCCCATCTCTGAGGATCTTTGTTCCCTTCTTCCACTCCACAGGGGCCTCTTTGCTCAACTGACAGTGAAGCAAGACTGTGGCACCTTCTGTGGCTTCTTCATTCCTCAGACTTTCTGTGAACTTGGTGGGAAGGGCTGCAGAGGTCACAAAGATAAGCACACTCACACTCTGAGCAAATGAAGGGGACAGGATATGAATGGCACAAACAAGACACAAAACCCAAGAGCGTGGCCATGTGCTAGGTATGCTGACAACTGGCTGTGGTTTTTGTGTCTCTTGGTGCATATTTTTAATATTATGGCCATAGCCCCTTCTGTAATTTCCTTAGTCTTATATGAATCTGACATGCAGGGCCAGAAACTCATGGAGAAACTCAGATTCTCTGCAGAACTCTGACAGGCAGGATGTGACACAAATAAGGACAAGACACAGAATCCACCTTAGAAGCTGGCTACAAATGTGGCCTTTCCTGGTTCATTTAACAGTACAGAAAGAGGGTGACACAAAGGGAAAAAACACAGAGTGAGCACAGATGTGCAACATGGCAATACTTAAGCACCAGAATATGGATCTAGTTGGCCATACATGGTCTTTACCCATGACGGTCAGTGTGGCTGAGGTTCTCTCCTGTCCCCACACTCAGTTGTGCCCCCCAGTGTCTTCCGCAGCCAGGCTATGGATCTGCAGCCTGCACACAACCCTATCCTGCCTCAGCCTGTGTCTTTCCCCATCTCTGAGTGTCTCAGACCCCTTCCTTCACTCCACAGGAGCTGCCTTGCTCAGTTCACACCAGGGTAGCTGTGGCACCTTCTGTGGCATCTTGGCTTCTTGAGTCTTCTATGAATCTGTCAAGCAGGGCTGGAAAGGTCCCAACAGTCATTGAGAACATGGGACTGTCTGACGGTCTCTGCACAGAAATGTAACCCACAAAGAGCCATACAAACTCTGAAGGACCACAACGTGAACAAGTGAACTAACATACAGATGGTGAGGGAGGCAAGTAGCTGGAGAGGAACAGAGAGGGTGATGGGATGCACATGAGCCTGAGTAGGTGAGAGATGCTCTGAGGATACCAGTTAGACAACAGATGGCTATAGGAGCTATGCTGCATGTGGAGGCAGAAGGTGGTGATGGGGGACAATGTGAAGATACCAAGCCACAGGTCCATGAGGACACAATCTTTACCCCTGATGGTCAGCATGGCTGAGTTCCTCTCTGTCCATACACACAGGAGTACTCCCCAGCATTTTCCATGGCCAGGCCATGGATCTGCAGCTCACACACAACCCTGTTCTGCCTGAGGCTGTACCTGTCCCCATCTCTGAGGATTTTTGTTCCCTTCCTCCACTACACAGGGGCCTCTTTGCTGAGTTCACATTGCAGCATGACTGTGGCCCCTTTATTCTTCAGACTTTCTGTAAACGTAGTAGGCAGGGCTGGGAGATCAGAAAGACATTAACACAATCACACTTTCTGAGCATATGGAAGAGACAAGACATGAATAGTACATGGAAGACACAAAGTCCAACTGCACACAGGCCATGTGCTCAGTGTGCTGAGCACAGGCTGGGGATGGTGGTTTCCCTTGGTCTAGCCTGTGTACAACATGGCCATGATCCATTCCAAAAACACAAAGAACATCAGGATCTTTGGAGAATTCTGGGGACAGGACATAACACTTAATGAAATACACTCTGGAAGTAATAAATAAATAAATGTGTGACATACAGGTAGGAAATAGTGCACTGGGAACAGAGAAAGACTGACCAAACCTATTCAGTTGAAGGCCAGCAAAGACATGGAAGAGGATCTCAGAATGAGGACAAATCCACAGAAATAGCCAAAAGCCCATGAGATCGATGGTAGAAGTACTGAACAGAGGGACATCCTCTGTCCTAGCATCTTTTGTGCCTGTCTTGGTTTACACTGTAACTCCAGACTCAAAGGCCGAAAATAGCCTGGCCTGACATGTTAGTAAATCCCTTCCATACTTCCCTTTGCCACAGGAGTCCCATAATCTTGATGAATGACTAGGTTGAAGAAACACCACATAGGCTGCCTAAAACTCTCCCAGAAAGCCATACCAGACCCCACTTCCTAGCACAGACCAGGAACAAGGAATACCCTGACAAGGTGGGAAGCAGCCACAACTCTTGTCTTGGGGCTGTCATCCCAGCGCAGGTGGTCACAGTGCTCCATTTCCTTGTCTTCATGGTGCAGTCAAGCTCCCTGATGCATAAGAAGAGTGGATGAAAGGATCCATACGAACAAATGAAGGAACGATCCACCCATCCACGAACATGTAGGAGACAGCCAGAGAAGCTGAAGAGGACAGTCTGGCTTCTGTGCACTGAGGTTGGGGACCTCCTCTGGCCACCAACCTGATATTGGGGCTTCAGGAACGTCCAGCTCCATCTACCTGGAGCTCTTTAAGCAATCAGTGGTTCAGGGCATCCTTGGGATTTGTGGTCCAGAAGTAACTTCCAAAAATGCAGCACTCTCCAGAAAGGTCCAGGCAAGGGCATCCACTATGCCTCATCCTTGTTCAGTCATGCATACTCTGGAAACAGCTCCCTCAGGTGGCCAGCAGTTTGCCCCCTGGGATCCTCTACACCTTAGCCACTGACAGCACCTCCCAGAGTCAAAGGAGATAGCAGGTTCCCGTGACTGCTCTTTCCAATGCTCTAAAGGCACAGGATGGGCCCTAGAGCCACATGCCTCTATTGTTTCCTATTGAGTCTGAGGGCATGAAGACACCGTGCTTCCATCCTATGACCCTGTGCTTTGTCCATGTAGCTCGACATGGCATGGCAATGTCTCTACAACTGCCTCCAACACTTGAGCACATGCCAAGAGCTGCATGCCACAAGTCTGCGCAAACAGATGGCCATGTGCAACCCCAAAACCTTTTTCTTTGCTGCCCAGAGGAGCCCATCCCTGATGTGAAAGTGGAGCCCACCAGATGAGGGCCCCTTGCACCTATGGGAGTCTCATTCCCTCCCTACTCTCTAATATATCCCAGGTCTTCCATTGATGTCTGTCTTTATTTACCTGTTTGCCCTTCAGGAAGCCACCCAACCCATCCCAGGACCATGAGCACCTGAACCCCTGACAGGGAGATTACCCATCATGGGGCCTCCAGCCACAGCAGGACAGAAGTTCTAGCTACCTGGACACAACTGTGACCAGGAAACCACGGGTTCAAGAGCAGAGTAGAGTGGGCTGGCTCTGGCCCAAGTCTGCTACTATTTCCAAGTGCCCCCAGGAGCCACTGCAGCCAAGCCACATGGCTCCATATATCCTGTCCAATCTGTATATATCCCTGTCCTGTCTCTGAAGTCTCAGGCCTCTTCCTTCACTCCAGGGGAGGGAACTTACTCAATTCACACTGCATATGGCCATGGCCCCTTCTACATCCCACCCATCTGTGAACTGGGTGGTCACAGACATGAAGACCATTGAACTCTGCTGTTTGTGGGCAGGAAGTGAGGTACAGAGACTGTGTGGGCTGCCAGAGGGACCACCACAGAGAGCCTTTTCTGAGTGAGTAACCATAGAACTGGCCAGGAGAGCAGCCCATGTAAGAGGACTCACCATCTCCCCTTCACTCACATTGGACAGATCCTCACCATTGGTGACAGCCATGGTATGGGACCTTACCTCCCAATCAGACCCATAGAATGGGCTCTCACCTCTACCTGACACCAACAGGATGGCTCCTCAACCCCACAGAACTGGCCCCCACCCACAGGATGAGCCCTCACCTGCACCTTACCCCCATAGGTGAGCCTTCACCTCTCCTTCAGTCCCACAGGATAGGACCTCACCTCCACTTCATACCCACAGAATGGACCCTCAACGCCACCTCACTCCTATTGCACAGAAACTCACCTTTGTGGTTAGAAACACATGTCAAGACTGCTCCCCCATCTTGCATCCCCACTTTGTGGGCCATCTCCTGCTTACCCCCCTTTTCTGATGTGCCATCTCCCCAAACATATAATTGCATCTTTGTAATTGCTTGGCTTTCCCCATGTCTTCTGTCTCAAACCATGACCCCCAGGGTTGGGAAGGACCCCCCTCCATTCTCTGCTGTTTTCTGGCTTCCAAGATGGGCCCCACATGGCAGGTATGAGAAATTACCTGCTAATGGAATAAAGGAGAGATGAAAAAAAAAAAACAGGAAAAACTATAACAGATGGGGGTAGACAGAGAAGCCATGACAAAATGCTCAGACACAGAATCGCTGGTACACAAGGGTACACATTGTCTTTACCCTTGATGGTCAGTGTGGCTGAGGTCCTCTCCTGCCCGCACATGCATGAGTATTCCCCAGCATCTTCCACGGCCAGGCCACAGATCTGCAGTTCACACATGGCCCCGTCCTGCCTCAGCCTATATTTGTCCCCATCTCTGAGGGTCTTTGCTCCCTTCCTCCACTCCACAGGGGCCTCCTTGCTCAGCTCACAGTGCAATGTAGCCATGTCACCTTCTGTGGCCTCCTTGCTTCTCAGTCTTCCTATGAAGTGGGCAGGCAGAGCTGGGGAAGGTCAGACAGACACCAGGATCATCAGATTTGCTGCAATCTGTTGGGGCACAGCACACAACAAGACAAGGGAAAAGATACAGAAAACTCAGTATGACAACAGGAGAGAACTGGCAATGGCCCAAGGGCGGACAGCTGACTGCAGACACTGGTGTCTCCTGTTCACACAACAACTCAGGAAGCAAGAAGGGGCCCTGTGGTATGATGGGAAGAGGGTGGCACAGACATGAGGAGAGAACATTGAAGGAGTTAGACAAACAACATGAAGTCAATGCTTAGGCATCAGAACATGGATCTACTTGGCCACACATGGTCTTTACCCCTGACGGTCAGTGTGGCTGAGGTCCTCTCCTGACCACACACGCAGGAGTACTCTCCAGTATCTTCCCCAGTCAGGCCATGGATTTGCAGCTCATACATGGCCCCGTCCTGCTTCAGGATGTATCTGCCCCCATCTCTGAGGGTCTCTGCTCCCTTCCTCCACTCCACAGGGGCCTCTTTGCTCAGCTCACACCACAATGTGGCTATGGTCCCTTCCATGGCCTCCTTGTTTCTCAGTTTTCCTGTGAACTGGGCAGGCAGAGCTACAACAGGGTCAGATAGAGACAAAGGCATAATTTTCATTCTCCTGCACTAGATAAAGGGGCCCAAATAGGCAGGGCAGACAAGGACACTTACCCTTCACAGTGAGCATGGCTGTGGTCACCTGGTCCCCAAAAAAGCATGAGTACTGCCCACTGTCCTCATGCTGCAGGTCTCGGACAACCAACTCCAGCAAGGCGCCATCCTGGCGCAGGCTGTACTTGCTGCCAGACCTCAGGACATCATCTCCATGACGCCATTCCACAGGCGCAGCCACAGATGACAGCATACAGCGCAGTGTGGCAGCCCCACCCTCTGGCACCTCCATGTCCTTCAGGGCCTCACGAAACCGCACTGGCTGAGCTGCAGATAGGCATGGGCTCAGCTTGACCTCCCCAAGCAAGATCCCACTTAGGGTCCTGTTGGGAAGCAGCTGCAGGGTGTAGGCAGTTCATATGTTAGGGATGAATGGCAGGGACCCCAAGACCTCTGGGAAAAGATGGGTCTGAAGGTCTGTGAGTGGAAAGGAAAGCCAAGGAGCAGGTGAACAGAGAAGGGTGCAGTGTTACAGACTGAACTGTGTCCCCCAAGATTCAGGTGTTGAAACCCTAACCCATGATCTCAGAAGGTGACTGCATTTGGTAATGAACACTTCATTTGTTTGTTTATTTTTTTGGTGGTACTGGGATTTGAACTCAGGGCCTAGTGCTTGCTAGTTCTACTACTTGTGCTACAGCTCCAGCCCGTTTTGCTTTAGTTGTTTTTCAAATAGGACCTCATATTTTTTGTCCAGGGTAGCCTGGACCATGTGCCTCTTGTGTCCCCTTCCCATGTAGCTGGGATGACAAGCGTGTATCACCATGCTTGGTGTAATGTGTATTTTGAAGAGATAATTAAGCTGAATAAGATCCTTAGAGTAAACCTTAGTTCCATAGCACTGGTGTACTTATAAGAAATCAGGACAAATGTGAGGACACAGAGGAAGACGGCATCTACAAGTCAAGGAGAGAGGCCTCCAAAGTTGTCAATCAAGATAAATACCATTGATCTTGGACTTCTGTACTCCTCAAATGTCGGACAATAAACTCTTGTTGTTTGAATCTGTGGCACTTGGTTAGAGCAATGCAAGCAATCTAATAGAGATGTGAGCCAAAGATGGGAAAGGAGCTCCAGAGACATCAGAAAACAAGTCAGGAATGGAGTAAGAAAGACACTGTCAGCAACAAATGGGTCAGGAGGCCAAGAGAGGCCAGGGAGACTCTTGGGGACAGCAGAGCCCCAGAGACAGCAGAGAGCCAAACAGGACATATGAGTGCCTCACACAGAGGGTAGAAACAGATGGAGAAGTCACTAGAAGCATCTTGAGGTCCTCCCTCCCTCATGTTCCTGTGTGCATGCGCTCACCTCAACCCATGCCTGCACCCCAGGCACCCTGAGGCTCACCATGGACCCTCACGATGGAGCTGCTCCAGGCCCCACTGGCCTCACACTTGTATCGCCCACCATCCTGCAGGGTGGCACCATTGATGACCAGCTGGGCCCGGCAGCCCTCATAGCTCAGCTTGCACCGTGCAGATGACCGCAGTGTCTTCCCATCCTTGGTCCAGTGCACAGGGCTATCCAGACTGGTGGTCTCACAGATGAGGGTCAGGTCCTCACCTTCTGTGACTGTGACATCCGTGAGTGGCTGGGAGAAGATACTTGGCTTCTCTGTGAGACAGAGAGAGAAGTCAAAGGTGCTTGGGAACTATGGTGCTGCTGTGGTAGAGAGTGGCACTGAAAGCCAGGCAATGTCCTTGTCAGTGTCCACCTGCTGCCCTTTGGCTGCCACTACAGAAAAGAATGCTGAAGGGACAGGACAGGATTTGCATGACTGCCACCCTGGAGAAATGTAGCCTAAACGAGCCATGCTGATCACAAATTCTCAATATCATCTAAGAGGAATTCATCTTGGAACAGCTCAATTCAGCCTCCCAAGATGCCTTCCTGAGATGGGAGCCCACATGCAATTTGCAGGGAATCTTGCCTTCCCTATGAGCCTTAGGATCATGCTTGGCACAGGACCAAGCTGCTGTCTGAGCTGCTGTGTGCCCTTCTTTATGGCTCACCAAGACTATGTGGTATCCTCTATCATGGATAGCCCTTGCTTTGGGGCACAAAACCCACCAGTGACCCTCAGGGCTGCTGAAGTTCGCTGGTCACCCGCCTCGAAGTAGATGGTACCAGAGTCCTTGAGTGACAGCTGCCGCAAGGTGAGCACGTGGTAACCCCCAGGCTGGGCCTCAATCTCATTGAGCTCATTGGCATGCAGTGGGGTCTTGTCCAGGAACCAGTGCACAGGCTCATAGTCAGCAGGAGAGACACGGCAGCAGAAGGTGGCAGAGGAGCCCTCCTGCACATCTGTGTCCTCTAGGTCCTCAGTGATGAGTACTCTCTGGCCTGCAAAAGCACAGGCAGGAAAGTCAGGGGCTCCCACTGTCTAGGGCCAGACTGCACCAGCTGCCAAGGGAAATTTGCCTCTCCCTAAAACCTGAGGTGGTAGGCTCACAGTCATAAGCAATTGACTTCACTTAGCAAGCCCTTGTTTTTTATTTTTTTTCATTTTTCTTTTATTATTCATATGTGCATACAAGGCTTGGTTCATTTCTCCCCTCTGCCCCCACCCCCTCCCTTACCACCCACTCCGCCCCCTCCCTCTCCCCCCCCCAATACCCAGCAGAAACTATTTTGCCCTTATCTCTAATTTTGTTGTAGAGAGAGTATAAGCAATAATAGGAAGGAACAAGGGTTTTTGCTGGTTGAGATAAGGATAGCTATACAGGGCATTGACTCACATTGATTTCCTGTGCGTGGGTGTTACCTTCTAGGTTAATTCTTTTTGATCTAACCTTTTCTCTAGTACCTGTTCCCCTTTTCCTATTGGCCTCAGTTGCTTTAAGGTATCTGCTTTAGTTTCTCTGCGTTAAGGGCAATAAATGCTAGCTAGTTTTTTAGGTGTCTTACCTATCCTCACCCCTCCCTTGTGTGCTCTCGCTTTTATCATGTGCTCATAGTCCAATCCCCTTGTTGTGTTTGCCCTTGATCTAACGTCCACATATGAGGGAGAACATACGATTTTTGGTTTTTTGAGCCAGGCTAACCTCACTCAGAATGATGTTCTCCAATTCCATCCATTTACCAGCGAATGATAACATTTCGTTCTTCTTCATGGCTTAGCAAGCCCTTGTTGACAAAAGTCAGAAACAGAAAGTGGATCACAGCCACACAGTCCAAAAATATTTGTTTAGGTCAACCTCTGAGCCCCAAACCCACCATCTTCCCCCTCTTCAGTCCTACAAAGCTGGCCTGGTAGAGCCATGGCCTGCAGGAAGCCCAGGCCCCTTCTACTGAGCTGTGCTTACCAACAGACAGGGGACTGTCTGCTCCCAAACCTGCTTTTTACAACAGTTATATTTGCATTATGATCATGCAATGCAGTTGAACCTTCTATTAACAGATGAAATATTAATGGGAAAAAGACCATGGTTACCTGATGTGCCACAGAGTATTAGAACCAATTCCTCCAGTCTAACTGTGCTTCAGTAGTGGCCTTTGGTAACCACTATTTTACCCTCTAATTTTATGAAATTGAGTTTTTCAGCTTCCTCAAATGAGTGAGAACTTGCAGTACTTGTGCCTGGCTTATATCATTTACATTTCAAAATTATCTGAAGAGCCTGAAGACTCCCAACACAGAGACCATGGTGAGTGCTTAAGGAGATGGAAATGCTGGTGTCCAATCTGACCATAACACACTGCAGACACGCGTCAAACTACCACACCATACCTCACAGGTAGGCACAGACATAACACATTGATATAAATTTAATTTTTAATTAATTAAGTAAGCACACAGAATGATGGTTACCCTAAAATTTAAATCAAAAGCTGGGGGGATAGTAAGTGTGAACCCCAGAAACAAACTTTTTTTTTTGCCATTGATAGACAATTCATGAAATCAAAATGGATCCTGCAAATGAATACTTCTGCCTTCACTAACACACTGAAGACAGGACTCTACTCTAAAGACACCCAACGCTGCCAAAGAGATGAGGAACTCTGATTGATGGACAATCTCACAAATAAATGGTTCCCAGACAGGTGGGATCTATACATTCTATTTTTTTTTCCATGCTGGGATTGATCTCAGGGCCTCAAGCTTCCTAGGCAGGCATTCTACCACTTGAGCCACTCCACCAGCCCTTTTTTGTGTTGGGTATTTTTGAGATAGGGTCTTGATTTTGTTGCCTGGGCTGGCCTTGAACTATGGTCCTCCTGATCTCTGCCTCCCAAGTATCTAGGATTACAGGCAAGAGCCACCAGTGCTAAGCTTATATTCTACATTTTTAACAGAACCTTTCATTAGTTTATGACTCTCACCTTAACTGATTTTTTTAATTGACTATGAGGACCAACTCAATCAGACTGGCTTTTACTGTGCTAACAGAATGCTTTTGGTGGATTTACTGGAAAGGAGAGAAAGAATCACAGTGAGGCTGCCTTGCCTACCATCGCTCCTCAGTCTCCATGAGGGACTGCGTCCAGGACTCCACCGACACAGTATCAGAGGATGCTCAGGTCCCTTATATAAGGGGTAGTATCTTTTTACATACTTTACACATATCAAGTTCTCTTTAAATCATGTTTAGATGATTTTTAAGAGATAATACAATGTAAGCACTAAGTGTATAGGTATTGCAATCTATTGTTTAGTGAACAGTGACAAGAAAAAAGTAGATACGTGTTCAGTACAGGTGCAGGTTTTTTTTCAAAATGTTTTCCATCAGCAATTCATTGGATCTATGATATAGAACCCACAGATACAGAGGGTCAATTGCACTACTTCTAATTATCATCGTTGATTGGTACTGGCACAAAAACAGATATGAAGACCAGTGGAACAGAATAGAGGACCCAGATATGAAGCCACACAACTATAAACAACTTGTCCTTGACAAAGGAGCTAAAAATATATGATGGAGAAAAGACAGCCTCTTCAACAAAAACTGCTGGGAAAACTGGTTAGCAGTCTGCAAAAAACTGAAACTAGATCCATGTTTATCACCCTACACCAAGATTAACTCAAAATGGATCAAGGATCTTAATATCAGACCACAAACTCTAAAGCTGGTATGGGAAAGACTAGGAAATACTCTGGAATTAGTAGGTATAGGTAAGAACTTTCTCAATGGAACCCCAGCAGCACAACAACTAAGAGATAGCATAGATAAATGGGACTTCATAAAACTAAAAAGCTTCTGCTCAACAAAAGAAATGGTCTCTAGACTGAAGAGAACACCCACAGAGTGGGAGAAAATATTTGCCAGCTACACATCAGACAAAGGACTGATAACCAGAATATATAGGGAACTCAAAAAACTAAATTCTCCCAAAATTAATGAACCAATAAAGAAATGGGCAAGTGAACTAAACAGAACTTTCTCAAAAGAAGAAATTCAAATAGCCAAAAAACACATGAAAAAATGCTCACCATCCCTAGCAATAAAGGAAATGCAAATTAAAACCACACTAAGATTCCACCTCACCCGTTAGAATAGCCATCATTAGCAACACCACTAACAACAGGTGTTAGCGAGGGGGGGGGGAAAGGAACCCTCTTACACTGCTCGTGGGAATGTAAACTAGTACAACCACTCTGGAAAAAAATTTGGAGGCTACTTAAAAAGGTAAACATTGATCTACCATATGATCCAGCAATACCACTCTTGGGGATATACCCAAAAGATTGTGACACAGGTTACTCCAGAGGCACCTGCACACCCATGTTTATTGCAGCACTATTCACAATAGCCAAGTTATGGAAACAGCCAAGATGTCCCACTACATACGAATGGATTAAGAAAATGTTGTATTTATACACAATGGAATTTTATGCAGCCATGAAGAAGAACGAAATGTTACCATTCACTGGTAAATGGATGGAATTGGAGACCATCATTCTAAGTGAGGTTAGCCTGGCCCAAAAGACCAAAAATTGCATGTTCTCCCTCATATGTGGACATTAGATCAAGGGCAAACACAACAAGGGGATTGGACTTTGAGCACTTGATAAAGCAAGAGCACACAAGGGAGGTATGAGGATAGGTAAGACACCTAAAAAGCTAGATAGCATTTGTTGCCCTCAATGCAGAGAAATTAAAGCAAATACTTTAAAGCAACTGAGGCCAATAGGAGAAGGGGACCAGGAACTAGAGAAAAGGTTAGATCAAGAAGAATTAACCTAGAAGGTAACAGACATGCAAAGGAAATCAATGTGAGTCAACACCCTGTATAGCTATCCATATCTCAACTAGCAAAAATCCTTGTTCCTTCCTATTATTGCTTATACTGTCTCTTCAACAAAATTAGAGATAAGGGCAAAATAGTTTCTTCTGGTTATTGAGGTGGTGAGGGGGAGTAAGGGGGGAGGAATGACCCAAACATTGTTTGCACATATGAATAAAAAGTAATAATACTAAAAATAAAAATAAATAAATAAATGAAAAAAAATTATCATCACTGAGACCTCTCAAATACTGAATAATGTTATTTCCTGAAGACAGACCAAGGAGGGACTTCTAGTAAACTCAGTCCTGGATACTAACCCAGAACTCCAGAGCCTAGCAAAAGCTGTGGTCAGGAGGATTGGAGTCACCACTGCTCTGATGCCAATGGCACATACACACCACTCCAGGATGGCCACTAACCCCTTTAAAGATCCAGTTTCCTTCCCTACAAAGCAAGAATGACAGCTGTCACCTTGCACACTGAATGAAAATGACCATTCACACAGAGACAAATAGTGACAGCAAAAGCCTCCATAACTATTGAAACACTCCTGAGCTGATAATGAAACTTCTTGTCCGACTGTTATGAAGGGGTAGGATCCTGCCTATCTGAGATAGGCACTTTCTCAAGGACTTTCTGAAGGCTCCACAGAAATTCCTTCTTATTCTACATACACCCCCATGCTTTGCATAGATTTTCATAACAAAGCTTATCTTTTACAGTCTCTATGACTACAGCAATTCGGACAAAATGCTCCAACATTACACCTGCCCAGAAAGGGCACCACCATCAAACGAGCAGGTGCCAAATCCTTCCCCATGTCTCCAACACCCATACTCTGTACCAAAGTAGCTTGGGTAAATGTCTCTATTTTTGCCTTTACAATTTTCTCTTTGACTCCACCTCCTTGGATGCATCCTTAATTTACTGTGGTACACGTGTTCCCATTATGATACTCCACTGTTCCTAACATCATTATTCTTTGGAGAAAAAACAATGGTCATACTGACTATCAGCCTGGTAACACCTGAGGCTCCTCGGCTGCCAGCAAACCTAAGTCAGGCTGCTCCTCTGGGGTGAGAGTCATACATCATGTGCCTTTGGACTCAGCACATGCCTGGACATCAGAGAAACAAGCAAATAAATGCGTAAGTCAAGAAAAGCCATGGGCTCATTCACAGACGGTTGCACTGGAAAAGCCTCAGAGACCACCCAGGGGATTAACTTTACCCTGAGAGACGAAGAAATGGAGGTGGGCTTGTCCAGGGCCAAGTAGAGGCCTGATCTCTGACCCACTCCAGGTCTTCAGTGTCTACTTCAAATAGCTTGCATCTGAACCCAGTAAGGGGTTAAAATGCCAGCATGTCATGAGCAATGCAATGGGTGCCCCAGCCAGCCTCACCGTGCACCAGGAGCCGGGCCTGGCACTGGGCCTGGCCAATGTCACAGCTGTAGGTGTCACTGTCTGCCCTCTCCAGGGTGCTGATGGTGAGCCTCAAGGTCAAGCCCTCCTGGCTGGGTGTGTGCTTCCTCGAAGCTGGCAGCTCCATGAGGCCCTTGCGCCAGGTCACAGTGGTTGCTTGGTGTTCAGTTTTGCACATGAACACAGCTGTGCCCTTCTCCTCTGCCTGTAGGTCAGCCAGCTCCTCTGTGAACCAGTTTGCCTTTTCTGGGAGAGTGACAGAACAGGTTGGGGGTACAGCTTGCACACATCCACAATAGCCATATTCTCCCAGCCTGGCCACAACAACAGAGGCAGAGGTGATCCCAGGCCACGCTGCAGGAGAGAGGGACCACTGGAAGGCAACATGTGGGGTCTTCCAGGGCACTTACCTTCCACATGGAGGCTGGCAGTGCTCTTGGAAGCTTCTGTCTCACATGTGTATTTGCCAGAATCCTTGAGCAAGGCCCCTCGGACAACCAGCATGGCCCGTGTGCCTTCACTGAGCAGGTCATATTTCTGACTCTTTCGGATGGCCTTTCCATCTTTCAGCCAGCGCACAGGGGTGCCTGCCTTCGACAACTCACAGCTAAGCACCACGTCCTCCCCCAGCATGGCCTGCTGGTCTTCCAGGGGCTTTGTGATGTCCACTGGCCGCTCTGAAGAGAACAAAAATGGCCACCCATGAAGCACAACCATGGCCACAGCACCAGCCACTCCCTTGACCACATCTAAAACTATGGCCATAGCCATACAAACACTGCAGCCATGCCAGCAGCCATGACCACACCTGAAGCCACAGCTTCAGATTTTGCCTCAGGCTCAGCCATGGTCAGCATGAGGGCAGGGACAGACATTTAGGAATATTCAATCTCTGGAAACCAAGACCACAGAACCTAAAACCCTCAAATCCTGGGACCCCAGGGGCCTTGGGACCCTGAAGTGCTGGAAGCCCTATCACAGGGTGAGACCTGGAAAACAGAAGGTTATGGGGCTATAGCATCTTATATTCTTGGCATCGTTTAGGGCTCACAGTTCAGAGTGTGGCAACAAGCTGGCTCCTGTTCATGGAGCTCCACTAATGTGCATCAGGTGTGTAAGTGAGAAGCACAAGATCCAAAATAACAGTGGTAATTTCCCAGTCAACATATGGCCACAGCTCAAGTGTCAAACTGGCTGGATGAACAATATGCACTGGGACCTACCAACCATATGGGGCAGTCAGACCACAGACTGGTGACCAGAAACTTAGGCTTGCTCCAGGGGTTCACAGATGCTCAGCCAAGAGAGTGAGTCCCTTAGATAACCAACACAGTCTCCTGCCCCCAGCACCCTGACAGGTACCTCTAGGTCACCACATTCTTTAAAGTGGAGCTCACCAGGGGCTAAGGAGGCCAGGAATACAGTTCCTTATATCATCCAGGTTCAGTAGCCCCCCCGACCATGGTGCCCACCTCTGACAATGAGGGAGGCCTTTGAGGTAAGGTTCTGTATGGAGAAGACAACCTCCCCGGCGTCGCTGAGTGCAGCATCTTGGACCATCAGGATGTATTTGCGGCCTTGGCACGTGGCCTGGAAATGGCCAGAACTGCCCACTGTCTTCCCACCAACTGTCCATACAGCTGAGTCACCCACGCTCTCATGGGACAGGACACACTCGAAGTTGCAACTCTCACCCTCCAGCACCTCCACCGTCTTCAACCTCTTAGTAATGCCCAAGTGCAGATCTGCAAACCAGACAATGGAGGCAGGCCCAAGACATGGAGGCAGGCCCAAGAGCACAGCACTGCCCCATGCCAGACCCTGAGAAGAGCTAGACTATGCTGCAGGACTCAGGTTCTCATCCATCCTCAACCCCATTCCCAACACTATAACATGCTATCACCAATTGGCAGATTCCCTCTGGCCTCAAGCTGGCCATGCTCTGGTATTTGGATGACCAATGGCTGTGAGCTACAATCAGTGTGGCCAAGAGAACAAGGACCACCTATACTTCTCACCATCCAGGAGGGAGAAACATGAATGGCAGGAGAAGAGAGCCCGTCCAAAGAGCATGAGTCCAGCCCTACGACAAACTCACTTTGCCTCTACTCATTTCCTATTGGATCACAAACCATCAAGACAGTCATGGACTTGTCACTGGATCACAATCAGGCAGGCTGCTTGTCCTCAAAACCAGAATGCTTTGGGGACTGAGGTTCAACCAGAAGTTGAACCAGGACACTGAATGCCACCCCTGCGGTTCAGAACCTGCCCCAGCTGAGAGAGATGGGCTCAAAGAGACCCACAAGCTCAAGGTGGCAGGGTTGGACCTGGGTGGTAACTATGAACTTAGGGGCTTTCTGAGGTTCTATAAAGAATGGGAACATGGCCAGTCTGCAGCACCCCTCACCTGCATTACCAGTTGTACCCTTGGTCTGGGGGTCCTTTCCAGGCAGCCTCCTGCCCATACCCCTTAGCACCCTGACACCAGCACAGCACAGCCAGTGTCTGCTCAGACATGTCCCCTGGTACAGCAAGAATGTCTCTGGGGGCCATAAGCGGATACAGAGCAGCCTCCTACCCTTGGCTCCATGGCCTATTGTCCCCTGGCCCAACTGCCTGAACCTGAGCCCTACAGGACATCAAGAACATCCTGCAAGAAGTTCTGCTGGCACCTTGGAGCAACCCCCTCGATCTTGGAGAGTGATGCAGGCCACCCAGGACACCAGCACCACCCACCCTTGAGCTCTGGCCAAGCCCTTGATGACGTACCATGCACACTGACCCGGGCACGGGTCTCCTCAGTGCCCACATGGCAAGTGTATAGGCCAGTGTCCTCACGGCTCAGGTCATGTATCACAAGCCCCCGTGTGCCCGCTGTGTTCAGGAAGTTATACTTGTCACTGGGATCCAGCTGCACACCGTCTTTGTGCCAAACCACATGGGCTTTGGGGTCTGAGACTTCGCATTGCAGGGCCAGTATGCCACGTTCCTCCACAGACACATCGTCCAGCGCTTTCAGGAACACCACCGGCTTTGCTGGGGGTAGGGTATGGGCCAGTGAGGGGAGCCTGTAAGCATCCAGGAGGGGGGCCCCACAGACCTCACAAGCATGGCTCACCTCTGACCACCAGGCGGGCAGAGGCTGACACCTTGGGGGAGGTGGCGCACACCATCCCCGCATCAGCCTGCCGGACACTCTTCAGTACCAGCATATGACAACGCCCTTCATGGCTGATCTCATGGAAGCTGTCATTGTACAGGAGCGTCCCATTCAGTGACCACTCGATTTCCTCATCTTCATGGGACAGCTCACAAGAGAAGCAGACCCGGCCCTCCTCCATGGCTTCAGCATCCTGCAGTGGCCGTGTCACAGTCACTTCCCGAGCTAAAAGGAACACATTGGGGCCTCAGCACTGCACTGCCAGCCACACTCTGCCCCAAGACCCTCTTGGTGGTCTACTGTCCCTACCTTCCACAGTAACCTCGGCACTGCTCTGGGCATTGCCCGCCTGGCACCGGTAGATGGCAGCATCAGCTGGAGTGAGCCGGAGGATGCGCAGTTCTGCCATCTGGCCCTCCAGCATCATCTTGAACTTGTCCGATGGAGCCAGTGGTGTGTCCCCCTTATACCACTGCACAGCCTTGGGGGCTGGCTTAAAGTCACAGGACAGGACCACCGATTGCTGCTCACGTGCTGCCTTGGGCTCCAGAGGCCTGGTCAGCACCACTGGGATGTCTACGGAGTGAAGAAAAGGCAGGAATTTGGGGCCACAAGAAACCAGATCAACCTGCCCAGCCCTGACCCAGGCTCTAAGCCATGTCCACCCATAGCCCTGAGTCTGCAAAGCCCTAAACACCTCTGACCAGCCCCTCCCCTCCTGCCAGGCTCTGCTCCACATAACCCATAACCTCACCTTGCCCCCACATGCCTACATCCCACACTACACACACTGGCCCATGCGTGCCCTGGCCCCACACACTTCTGCCCCACCCTTGATAAGCATCTATGAGCACCTATATTCTGTTCAGCCAGCCTCTGATCACCAGCTCCACCATGCTACGAAATCTGCTGAGCCCACCAATTCCCCTCAAGCCACTAAGCTATATCCACCCACAGACCTAAGCCCAGGCCTTTGACCAGACCTTATCTGCTCCTGCTGCCCAAGCTCCACCCACTCCTCTCCATACCAGCACTCTAGCATGGGCCACCTATGCCCAGCCCCTGTACCCACATCCTGTTGCACCCTGGCCCTGCACACCTCCACCCTGCAAACCCCTAATTCATGGTCATCTGTGGCCCTAACCATGTCCATTCATGGCACTGCCCTATGCCCACTCATAACCCTGAGCTGCATCTTCTCTCAGCTCTGCCCTGTGCCCACACACTCACCTGAAACAACCAGGCGGGCAGAGGAGCGGGACTTGCCAATGGTGAAGTGTACGGGCCCAGTCATAGTGGAGCAGGTCTTCCTCAGAGTCAGCCGATGCACGGTGCCCTCTTGCTCCAGTCCCACATTTGCCCCTGCCTGCAGCACAGTCTTACCCAGGAGCCACTTGGGTGGGCGCACAGAGGGGATGGAAATCTCACACTCAAACCAGGCAGGGGCAGGCTCCATCACTGTAACATCCTGCAGGCCCCGCACAATGGTAATGGATTGCTCTGTGGGTGGGGAGCTGGTCATCAGTGAGATCTTTCAGGACCTGTCACCCCCTCCTGCAAGCTCTGTTTTCCTTCTTAGAAACAAACCCTCTCACCATATTGTCCTCCCCCAGCTGCTCGGATGTCCCTAATCAGGCTCCTTTCAGAGGTGACTACCTCTAGGATCGATAGGCCAAGCCACAGAAACCACAGACCCTCCCCCAATAAACTGAGAGAGCTGTCCATATGGCCCCTGCTCACCTTCCACAAAGAACTGGGCACTCGTCTTAACGTCACCAGCATCACATGTATAGGTGTCCTCATCCTCAGGCTGCACATCATTGATGACCAACTTTCGGTAAAGGCCATCGCTGACCATGTCATACTTGGGCCCAGGTTGCAACTCCATGCCACCCTTGAACCACCACACCTGGGCACTGGCCCGGGACACCTGGCACTCAAGTACACCACGGTGCTTCTCCATAGCAATTTTGTCCCTCAGTGGGCGCAAAAGGGTCACAGGCAGCTCTGTGGGCACAGCCAGGTAAGATCAGGATAGTTGGACTGGACACATTGCCTGCACAGACTCCAACAAGTACAGATGCACAGTCTGTTCCTGGCCTCAGTCAGCCAATGGACTGGCTCCTGCTCTACCCCAAAGCCTGTACCACTAGTATCACCTGTACCACCAGGTGGCCAAGTCAAGTGTCCCCCTCAGGGTTCATCTGGAATCTGCTGGATATAACTAGCCAGTAGCAAGGTGGGGTGTTCAACCTCCACCATCCAAAACATACCCCAACAGCATGCATGAGCCCCACTTTCCCCACCACCATGTGCCCATGCCCTGTACTGCATGCCCTGCTCAGCACTCTTCTCAGTGCCTATTTCCTGCTCCACATGTCTCAGACCTCTCCCCACTCTCCTGCTCAGGATGCCCCAGCACACCCTAAACCTGACCCCCGCCCCCGTGCACCCAGGTCTGACTCCACAACCTCCCTTCCCCCCGCAAGCCCTCACCCAACCTTGAGGCCATGTCTACCCTCTCTCCAGTCCCCATACCTAAGTCTCATGCTCCCCGCACCAGGTATGACCCTGCCCATTACTCTCCCAAAGGGTCCGTGTCCTGCCCCAATACCCCAACCCTACTCTCACTTGCCTGCCTGAAGACCTTCCCTCACTCATGAACCTTGGCTGTCAAGGCCATCAAGATGACTGATGCCAGAGTCCCATACCCCTTTTCTCCAGTGTGGGCTGCAGACCCAGAAGGGAGTTCACTGTGAATTTTTCAAGCAGTACAACCCCAAGTCCTCATATCCCCTATGACTGCTCCCTTCCCTGCCCCTATCTTCCTGCTGAGGAGGCAATACTCTCTACACTCCTCCTGAGACACTGCTGTCCCTGCCCAAGGAGGAGTCAGGGGTGCCAGGACCAGCTGCCTATAAGGCCTTGTGCTCACAACCAATCCCTGTCCTTTCCTCAGCCCCCCCTCACCTTTCACTCGTAGATGGGCTTGCGATTCTGCATTTTCAGCTACAAATCTGATCTCCCCTGCATCTTCTGCCAGTACCCTCCGGTAGATGAGAGTGTATGTCCTTCCTGGGGACAAAGGCCTTTCAGCACAGGGTAGAAGTAGAGTGGGGGTGGAGCCCGTACCCAGCTATAGCCTGCCTGCCCTCGCACCTTCCTGGCGGATGCGCACATTGTCACTGGGCCGCAGCTTACTGGCCTCTCGGAACCACTGGCCAGGTACCTCATCATGGGAGACCTCACAGGAGAAGGTGGCACCCTCCTTCTCCATCACCTCCACATCTTGCAGGGGCTTCACGATCTGGACATTACGGCCTGAAGAGGCAAGCAAGGCCCTGCCATGCCTAGAAGCACAACAGTGCTCCCAGCGTGCCTCCCCAAGCTTGCTGAGGGATGGCGAAGGGGCCATACACCCAGAGGGGGGACACAGGTGCAGGATGAGGTCCTCACACCTGCTGGCTCTGCCCAGTAAGCCTGGCTCTGTCCAGGCCTCACCTTGCACCTTCAGGGACGCGGAAGTCTGAGCATCATGGGCGTCACACACATAGATACCCTGGTCCCCGATCTCACACCGGTAAATAATGAGACTCCTGCAGGTGCCCTGGGCTACTATCCCCAATGCCTTGCCTGCCCGCAGCTCCACACCATCCTGCAAAGCAAAGAGGTCAGATTCTGGGGTGGCCCAGTCAATGGGTCCCACTCCTGCCTGCCCACAGAGATTCAAAGAGGGAAGAAAGGCACCTTCAGCCAGCGCACATCAACATTGGGACGTGACAGCTCACATTCCAGGGTCACCTTCTCTTTCTGGGTGGTCACTACATCTTGCAGTGGACGACTGAAATGCACAGGCAGCTCTGGGAGACAGGAGGGGGAAGGTGAGGGAAGACATGGTGCTAGGAGTTGCCTTCCAGGCCAGGGCAGTGAGGGGAAGGCTAATTGGAGTCATTCAAGAGGATTTCACATCCTGGCCCCCTTTGTCTCCTTGTGCCTCCTTGGACCAACTTGGGGAAGGGAGCAAGAATGTTCTGGAATTGGTCCTGTTGGCCTTCACCTACTTACCAGTGACCACAAGCTGGGCTGACGTGTGTACACCCTCACTCCTAAAGGCCACCAGCCCACTGTCCTGAAGTCGTAGCTCTGAGAGCTTGAGGATGTGAATGGGGCCATGTGCCGCCAGGTGACATGTGGGACCGGGCTGGAGCCGCAGACCATCACGTGTCCAGCTGCCTTCCACATCAGCATGTGACAACTCCACCTCCATGGTGGCAGTGCTCTGTTCCTTCACCTCCACTGCCTGTAAGCCCCGAACCAGCCGGACTTGACGCACTGTGGGGACACACAAGGGGGCTTCAGTGAGCTGCTGCATGGAGACCCTCCCGCTCCCACCATCCAGCATTCAAACTCAATATGGGCACAAGTGGCTTCCCCAGGGGCCACGGGGCACGGGGAGGTCTTGGCAGTTCTCCCAACTCCTGACCCCCGCCCTGTTCACTCCCAAGGTCTGCCAGTTCAGATCTACTCCTTACTCAGCCTTTTCCTCAAAGTCTAACTCCAAAAGTTGGTTCATCCATTCCTTTCCAACCCAAGACCTCCCCCACAGAGCTTCCCTGGTGGCCACCCTACCCTATTCTCCCCACCCCAGAAAGTCTGTCCCTCCCTTCAGGCTGTGCCTCTTCAAGGGGTTTTATGCCTCCTTACTCCTCTGGGCCAGCCCCTAGGCCTAGCACCCCACTCCTCCTACCTTAACCCACCCTCCATCCCACCCTCTGCTGTCCCCAGGCTCACTCTCCACATTGAGCTTGGCCTGTGTCTTGTCATCCGGTGTCTCACAACCAAAAAACCCACGGTCAACGAAGCCCACATTGTGCAGCACCAGGCGGTGCCAAACACCCTCAGCATGGATCTCCACATTCTTGCCAGGCACCAGGGCTACAGCATTGCGTGTCCACTTCACCTCAGGCCACGGACGCGTCAGCTCCACCTCCAGTGTCACAGAGCTCCGCTCCTCTACCGTCTGTGGCTGTAGCTTCTTTTTAAAGAGCACTGGTGCCTCTGGTACACAGGAGAGCAGAGGTCATCTGGGACCACCCACCTCAGGTCTAAGCCTGGGTCCAGATGGTCCAGTTACCCCACCATGATCCAGTGATCCCATTCCAAGCTGAGCAAGGCCCCAGCTACACACCTACACAGGTCCACTTTATGAGGGAAACTGAGGCTTCTTATGCAGGCTCCTCTCACATCCTGCTCCCCGGCTCTGAACAACTGGGCCATGCCCTAGTACATGGAATTCCTAACCATGGCCAGACACCAGCAGCATCAGATCTCCAGCAACTGGGTGGGAAAGTCTACACCCCACAAAAACAGCTGCACCATCATTTCCCTTTAACAAGGCTCAAAAACACTGGCTCATATCAAGAAATGGAAAGAAAGAAAAAAAAATAGGCCTCCCAACCTCAGGGTGTCCCCTACTCTTATCAGAAGGTGCGTGTGTCCACATCACTCCCTTACTCAAGTGTTATGGCTCTCACTTTCTTTCAACTGAAGGTCTGACTCTCTAAGTTCAGCCATACCACTTGCTTCTGGGTACACTGGCTGCCAGCCTCACTCCCTCCTACTTAGCCATCAAATTTAGTCATCTATTCCAGGAAGTCCTCTGGAGTGCCTCAACTTCAGCCCAGAGTTTCACCTGCAGAATTTCATCTTCTGTCCTACAGAAAAGCCATCCAGAACCTCAAGCCCAACTGAGTCACCTTCTCTCTGACAAACTGCATGTCCCCCAGGATCAGCCAGGACACAAGTGGACAACACAATGCTGCCTCACCGGGGGAGGCTCCCACTGCAAAGAGTCACTGGATTATTTTGCAGATTCTGCTCACTCTCACGCCCAGGCTCACCTCGGACCCGAAGGGCAGCAGAAGAGGAGACACCTTCAGCCTCCACTGTGATCTGGCCAGCATCCTCCAGTACCAGACCTGAGATGGTCAGGCTGTGGCTGGCGCCGCTCTGGGATATAAGAAACTTCTCGCTGGGCTGAAGTTGGGTACCATCCCGGTACCATGTAACCACCACATCGCTGGGGGATACCACGCACTGGAATGTTGCCTCACGGCCCTCCTCTGCAACTGTGGCTCTCAGTCCTGATGTGAACTTGACTACTCTGGGCACTGAAGAGAGAACCTCTGTTTGAGAGGTCACAGGAGGCTTCTCTACAGAGACCTCACCCCACCTTCCAGTCACTCTTAAGACACCTCTCCTCAGGAAGCCACTCTGCCTCCCCAGCTGCACATACCATTGACAGTGAGCCTTGCGCTGGTGTGGTCATCCCGGGTCTCGCACACGTATTCTCCCGTGTCCTCTTCACGCAGGCCCGACACAGTAAGCCAGCGCATGGGCCCTTCAGCTACCATCTGGAAGCGCTTGCCTGCCCTCAGCTGTGTGCTCCCACAGCGCCACACCACCTCCGCCTGCTCTGGGCTCAGCTCACAGACCAGCCTCACGGTACCACCCAACTCCCCGGTGACAGGCTCCAGGGGCCTGGAGAACTTGGCAGCCACCTCTGAGGGCACAAAGGGAATGTCAACCTCACCAGTGGGCCTCACCGTGACTCAACTATAGAACATCACCTGTTAGTCTTTGTGGCAGACACAGGGAACCCAGGAGGAGACCCCTTGGCTACCACTAATTACCTTCCACCTGCACTGGGAAGTCTTGTGTCTCTGTGCCCACACGGCAGCTGTAGATCGCACTGTCTAGCACCTGGGCTCCACGCACAGTCAGGGTGTGGGTGTCCCCCAGGCTGGTGGTCTCATGCCGCTTGCTGCGACGAATCTCCACACCATCTTTGAGCCAGGCCACCGTGGCCACAGAGGGTGTGGTGAGCATGGCGGTCAGGACGATGTCCTCATGTTCCCTGACCACCAGAGGCTCCCTGCGGCTGGGTCTTTCTGGGACTTGGGGCCCAGCCTCCGGCTCTGGGATGAAGGTGCATTAGCATGAGGGTGGGAACCTGGGCACCTGACTCTCCATCAGGAACACATGCCACATAAGGGACACCATTTAGGTTCTCAGGGGCCATGAAAGATGGCTACCTGGGATCACAGGCCTGGGGACCACCAGCTCTGTCCCAATCAAGAGCTGAGAGCCCAAGGGTCCCGCCTTCCAAGAAAGGATCAGCCCAAATACAGATGCAGCACTAAGAGTGCGCAGCAGCAGTCCAGAGCAGGACTGCCCAGCCTGGAGTGAGGCACAGGCCACAGAGGCAGCCCAAGGAGACAGCGTAGATGTGAGAAGCCTACTATTAAAGGCTGAGAGGTGGACACTGGGAGGCAAAGTATGAGGCTGATAGGGGAGAGGGCAATGGGAGGAGGCCAGGATGGTCAGTGCCAGCCTCACCCAGTGGAGCACTTAGAACAAACACATTGGCTGCAAAGTGGGAGATGGGGGGGGCTGGGGGACTGGTGATCAGGGACCACAGCTAAGGATTAGAACAGCCAGGAAAGTATAGTGACAATCAGTTCACGATCAACACCCCAGCAAGACACTGGAAAATGTCATAAATAATACAGAATACTGTCAGCACTGCAGGAATGCTGGGAGACTCCTGTTACAGAGGGCAGAAGAGGGGCTAGGAAGAAGACTGGAGAAGGAGAAACAGGGCAGACAGGCCAGCCTGGCACAGGAGCAAACCTGGATGGCTCCTGAGCAGGGGTCATCGCACAGAACCAACCTACAATTGCACAAACAGAACTCCAAGGACAAGACAGGGGAGGAGAAAAAGCATCCAATGGCAGAGGTCCATCAGGCTAAGGCTCCTGAGACTAGGGCTGGCCCAAAGGACTTTAAAACAGCAGAGGAGGCTGTTCACAAATCCTAGCAAGGCTCTTTCCACAGCCCCCAGACCTTAACAGCATCCTACACCTGAAGAAGACACAGCACCCAAATTCATGATGGAGAAGGTGGTTGTGCTGGGCAATCACAAGAACATGGTTCAGGGAGAAGCCTGGAATATCTTGGAAAGAGTCACTAACTGCGCTCCAAGGACCTTGGACAACATTGGACAGAGTCCAGCAGTGCAGGACCTCCAGAAAGGAGCCAAGCACCCGCCCAAACACAGACCCAGCAAAGACTTAAAGGGAAACCCTCATCCCCTGAATATCAGGTCCGCAACCTGCCCTAAACATCCCTAACACTGACCTGTGACATCAAGGTGGAAGGAGATCTTCTGGCCTCCAGTCTCGCAGCTGTACTCCCCTGCATCTGCCTTTTCCGCCTGATGCACTAACAGCCTCCGTGTGCAGCCTGAGGCCTCCACATGTACCTTCGAGCTCGAGCTCAGTTTCTGGCCGTCCTTGAACCATATGACCTCTGTCTGGGCCTGGGCCACTTCACAGCTCAGTGTGGCAATAGACCCCACTTCAGCCTTCACCTCACTCTTTTCAGGCTGCTCCTTGACAAACACCACCTTGGATTCTGGGGATGGACAGGGAGGGACATATGATCAATACTATCTAAATCAGGACAGTCATATGAGGGAAAAAAGGCCGGAAGTGGTGGCCATTAGGTGACAGAAATATCTCAAGGCTCTGCACTAGCTGAGCGCCCCAATAAGCCCCAGAACCTCTCTCCAAAAATCACCACAGGGCTGAGAATCCCAGAGGCTCCACAAGTTCACCTGCTTTTAGAATCAACAGCTCCTGCATCATGGGACAGCCTAGACCACCTGCGGCTCTACTGCCTCCTCCTGATCATGGAGGCCTTACAATCTTCACATTAGCATGTGTTCTCTGTGGTGAGCAGACAGAAAGACAGTTGCACTGTCTTTCTCTCATTCACTTCTATGGGCTCGTTGCATTGTGAAATGTTATGGATCTGACCATCATGTTTTTGATGTAAATATATTTCCCATCTTTCACAATGTCACATATTTTTCTTATGAAGATTCCTCCGAAACAATGATTTCAGTTTCAATGTGGTCACCTATGTTAATCTCGCTCAGTTTTGTCAGTGCATTTGGTGTCCACATAGGAAATCGGTCCTTATCCTGAAATAATTTTTAAAATTTTTATGGTTTTATTTTTTTACCCTCATTCTTTAACCCATCTGGAATTGAGTTGTGTGGTATAAGTTACTGGTCTCATTTCATAGTATTTTTTCATACAGTTAAATGTTCAGTGCACCATTTGTGAAACTACTATCATTTCTTCACATCTTACTCAGATGTGAAAAAAAAATGCACAAGGTGGGATATGGAACTGGGGATGCATTTGTGCACAGTCTATTCCTGAGCTTACTATGTATTTACGTATTCCCTTGATCCGCTAAATATTTCTACACTGAGCCCCTGTTGCTTAATGCATTATTGAATTAAGTTTGGCCTACAGTTCTCCGTAAAGTGGGCTGTAACCTACTTTGAAGTAGACACGGGCAGTAAGGTACACAATTTCAAGTAGCCAACTGTACAAAGCATGCACAAAGAAGACAGACGTCAGCCATAATCAATCAGACTGCCAGTACCCCACTTCCCTTTTCTGTATGTTACTTCTTTTCTCTGGCTATAAATATAACTGGCCCATGTGGTAGGGCTGAGTTCGCAAACATTTTTGGTCTGGCCTCCTGTCTGATTCCAGAATTGTTATTAACACAAATTAAGGTCTTCAAAACCAGATTTCTTATATTTTTCCTTATAACAAATGACTGTAGCTCTATGACAGTCCTGATGCCTGGTACAGGAAATGCTCCCATTTGCTTTCTTCTAAGTGTATTGGCTATACTTGGCACAAGAAATTCACTTCTCATTTTCAGTCCCCTCACCGCACTCTAAATGTGGATTGACTGGACAGCTTTGGTTCTTCTGTATATTTCCATCCATTTATGTAAACTTTTGCTGTCTATCCTACATTTGGTAATATACACACACAAAGCCCCTAAACATCTTGTGTTAGGCTTAAAGTTATAAGCATGACATTTTTGAGGCTATTTTAAATCTTTCAAACTTTCAATTTCAAAATAGTCTTTGCTAGCAGATAGTAAAGGGTTCCTTTATACTGATTTTTATATGGTGGTTTTCTTTCTCAACTCTTAAAAAGCTTATTAATTTATCTTTCACATAAAACATGTCTTCTGGGAATCTGTTGTTTTTCTCTAACTCGTATCTTTTTTTGTATTTAGGTCCTAACTGTGCTATACAATGTGGGCTGGAAGTAGTGGTGGCAGCTTCCTTGTGTTGTTCCTGACCTCAAAGTCAACCTTCAAAGGTTCACTTGTGATTTTTTGTGCAATACTATTTATGAAATCAAGAAAAAACTTTTTAATTATACTTTATGGCATTACTGATGATACACTACTTTTGAATTTACAATGCTAAGTTTTATCAAATACTTTATCTGCACTTACTGCATCATTTTGTCAATCAGATAAGGTCAAGCTTTATACCGATTTTCTAATGCTTTTAATGGTAAACCAGAGCTACATTCCTGGACTATGAATTTCATCACAGTGTATGATCCTCTTGAGCTGAATTCAGTGTGCTAATGTCTGCTCCATATTGGCTTTGATATACATAACAGATTGGCCTAGAAGATAAATTCTTGTTTTCTTGTCAGATTTTAGTATCAGTGATATGCTAATATATATAAACAGAATTAGAGAGTGCATCTCTTTTTTCTATTCTCTAAGAGAATCTCCATGAACACAGAATAATTAATTTTCAAATTGTTTGCAAGAATTTACCACTGGAGTCACTTGGCTGAGAATAAGAAGATTTTTACTATTGGTTCAACTTTTTGGTTATAAGACTATATGAGTTGTCTATTTCTTTTTGGGTCAGTATTATAAAAACTGAATAATTAAGACATTTCAATTTTATTCACATAAAATAAGGTCATAATTTATTAAAATAATAATTTATCAAAAAGCAGATGCTGTGGATCTTGGTATCTATATAATCCAAACAATTAAATACAGGATGAATATTCCTTATCTGAAATGCTTGGGACCAGAAGTATTTCAGATTACAGATTATTTTGGATTTGGATTTAGGAATATGTACATATAAATACTGAGTTCTCCTGGGGATAAGACCCGAGTTTAAATAAAAATACAATTGTGTTTCATTAACACCTTAAACACAGAGCCTGAAGGTAATCTTATATAGTAGTTTAAACAATTGAATATATTCAGGAAAGCTTCATGATACCGAATTTTATTTTCAAATTGTGGTGTCATGTCTCTAAAAGTTTCTGATTTTGCAGAATTTTAGGTTTTTCAGATGAGGGACATGCAACAGTACTGACACAACACCAACTGTTGTGTGGTGACATGCAGGCATCAATACTAGATCACAGTCAATATCAACTGGAAGCTCAACTTTCCTAAGACATGGAAAATAAAGTTGGCTCTCACACTGCTCTACGAATCAGACAAGAAGGCACAGACAGAAGTCATTAGGGAAACAAGGTAAAATAAATACTGCTTGACTAGACAGTAAGTCAATGTTACTAAAATGTGCAAAGCTCTTTAATCCTTTTGATTTCTAAATCTTTAACAGAAATTACAAGAGGAATTCTCAAAAACAATATTTGAGCTGGGGCTAAGGTGTGGCATATTGGTGGAGTACTTGTTTAACATGCATGAAGTTCTGAGTTCTACCCCCAGTACTGGAAAACGAAACAAAACTCTGGAAGAACATTTTCATGGAAAACAAGATTCAGTCTGAAAACAGTATGCAGGCACACACACATGTGAGCCCAGGCACAACACATGTCTGCCACTCCACTGCTCATTCTGTCATGTGCACAAACATAACAACCAAATGTGGATCTAAATTACACCATAAAATGGGGCAGTGTCTATGTCCATGGGGAAAGGGGAAGAATATTCCACAGCACCTAACTAAATGACCACTGAGGACACCACATTCAGTGTTGATATCATTCTAAATATGGAGTGGCCAAAACTCAATCTGAAATCTCTGAATAGGATGGACCTCATGTGAGCATAGGGGAGCTGCAGGAGAGGGACTGGGAAGAGATGTGTACCTCAGGCCTACATATCAGTCAGGACCAGAAGCAAGGGCACAAAGGACACTGGTGAGTTCCAAGGAGATGCACAGAATGTGAGACTGAACTTTACAGAATGAAGAGATTGCCTGAGGAACTTAAGAAGGGCTCTGACCATGGTGAACACACCCATCCACCAAGCCCACTTGGCCCAGCCATGGGGATAAAGATGGGCAGTGGGAGGCAGAGGACATGCAGAGATTGAAACTAAGGAAAAAAGCACCAGGGTCTGTCCTAGTCATCAGCCAGGACCAAACAAAGGGAAAATGGTACTGACCTGTGACATCCAGGTGGAAGAACACCTTGTGGCCCCTGGTCTCGCAGCTGTACTCCCCAGCATCTGCCTTGTCTGCCTGCTGCACCACCAGCAGCCGTGTGCAACCTGAGGTCTCCAGGCGCACCTTTGAGCTTGAGATCAGCTTCTTCCCATCCTTATACCATGTCACCTCTGTCTTTTCCTGGGCCACCTCACACCTCAGTGTGGCTTTGGCCCCCACCTCAGCCTTAACCTCATTCCTTGCAGACTGTTCCTTAGCAAATGCCAATGTGGGCTCTGGAAAAAGATAGGTGGGATATATGGTCAAAGACAGTAAGTCAGAAAGTTCACCCACAAGATGGAAGCCTGAATGTGTTGGCCATTAGGGAACAGAACCTTCTCCAGACTCTGCATTATGTTCCCACAACAAGCCCAAGTGCCTCGCAGCAACAACCACTACAGTTTGCACATGCATCCAGCCACTGCTCCAAGGGGGCTGTTCTATGGACACGAGGACAGAGTCTCACCACTGGGGTGTCCTGGCAATGGACAGTCTCCCACAAGACCATGCAGAAGACGTCCTACCACAGGACTGAGACTCTCCTGGTCTTTTCTGATCTTAACATCATCAGCTACTGTGTCTAGGGGGAGCCTAGACCACATGTAGCTTTACTGCCTCATCTCAATGCCTCACAGTATGAAGCACCTTTTCTGTTTAAGGCCTCTAGTGCTTAGTCTTCCATGGTGTGACTTTTACTCAGTAATCCAGTGTTATCTGACCTCTGCATGCTCATTTTTAGACACTCATTATATATTTATGTAGTAAATCTCTGTTTCGTGTGTAAATATCTCCCAATCTTTGTCATTGTCTTTTCTCCCTTTCATGCTGTCTTCTGATGACATAAAGGTCTCAGTTTTGGTAAAGGAAAATGTCCATTTGTCCTTTCTGTGTTGAGTATATTTGTCTCCTGTTTAAGAACTATTATTCTGAGATCATGAAATAATCCAAGCATATGCAAAAAAACTGGATTTGCTTTCACCTTGGAATCTCTGATAGAGCTGAACTTCGATGTATGAGGGAGATGTCCATTTTAACTAACAGATATCCTTTTTCCATGTCTCACATCAGCATCTTTGTAAAAAGGGAGGAGAGGTCTCATTATGCCCAGATAGTGTTTAGGCTCCCAGTTCCATTCCTTTTACCTATTTATCTATGCCTGCATTGAACCTGCTCTCCTCAACCCTGTAGCTTCATGACAAGTTTCAGTATCAGGAACATCAAAAGTTCTCTTTCTTCAAGAGTACTTTCCTTCACTCAGCACTTGGAATCAACTCGTCAATTTTCACATGCCCTTTAGGGGCAAGCTTTTCTTTGATGGCTATCAGGAATGGACATCTTTGGGTCTCTATGCTTAACTCACCATTGATTTGTGTCTTCTCTATTGTCTCCCTATAACAAGTTCCCCTCAGAATCCCAAACATTTTCATGTTCATACATGGAATCGGAAGCATGAAACTAGTAGCTGTGGCAATTCTTTGAAGATATCATTTCCCAACATTGTTGCTAGTGTATCTATAGAAGTGGAGGTCATTGTCTATGACATGTACTTGTACTTTGCCCAAACTGTGTTGCTTTGTTTCACATTCCTCCTTGTTGGCTGCATGATGCTGCAATGAGTTGTCACAGGAGGCCTTTTGAAATTTCTCAATTAAAGGGAAAGCTTCAACATACGTGTTCAAGTGTGACACTTGCTATTATTCTCTGTAGCATCCTTTGTCAAATGCTTGTTTGTTTGTTTTGGTGAGACTTGTTTGTTTGAACTCAGGGCTTCATGCCCTGAGTGTATGACTTGAGCCACACCTCCAGTCCATTTTGCTCTGGTTCTTTTGAAGATGGGGGTCTCACAAACTATTTGTCCAGCCTAGCCTTGAACCTTGATCCTTCCAATCTCAGCCTCCGAAGAAGCTAGGATTACAGACGTGAACCCCTGGTGCCTGGCTTAAGTTTCCTTTTGTTACTAATTCAAGATTTTTGTTGTTGTTGTTGTCAGGACCTCACACATATTAGGCAAGGGCTCTGCCACTGTGGCAACAAGCCCAGCAAAAGAACTCTTTAACATGAGTGGAGGCTACTTTTCATTAATTAAATCATCAATATGATTTAAAAACTTATCAAGTACTTTTATTCTGCATTCATTCAGGTAATACTCTTTATTTTAGCTCTATTAAAAATATCTCTTCACCTCATATATTATGATTTTCCTACTTTCTAACACTAAACCAATCTTGCATTCCTGGTTTGCAGCCTTCATCCTGGTGCACTATGTTCTTGACATATTGCTCTATTCATTCTACAGACTTTGACTTTGGTATCCAAAAGGGAGTGGTTTGATTTTAACACTGTCCACGTCAGACTTTGATATCAATACTATACCATATTTGTGTAAGGAGTTAGAGAGTATCTGTCCCCTTTCTGTTTTCTAGAAGAAAAGCCACACTTTCCAAAATATTTTTGTACAATTTACCTATAGACCACTTAACTTAACTCTTCCTGTATGAGATTTTTGAGAGTAGAACTTCACTTCTTTAAAAGGTTATAGATTGAGTTCCCTATTTTTTCTTGTGTTAAGTTTTGATGTAGTTTTCCAAGAATTAGCCAATTTTGGAAAATTTTTCAAATTTACTAGCATAAAACAATGTGATACTCTATTTAAATAATTTCTGTATGGTGGAGCTTTTGTTTGGTTCACATCAACAAACCATTACCTACACATGCAATATCAAACTATCATGTGGAGCCCCAGGCATTATGTGGAACTAAAGCCCACCCTATTTGAGGTTAAACTCGCCTTACAAAAGAGACTAGTGTTAGTTCACAGACCTCTCCATGGCCTTGGCTGGGAACACAGACACACAGGTATCATTGGGAAATACTACAGAATGAATCTGCTCTGCCAATCGGGGTGCCACTGCAGTAGCACATCTTTAACACAATTTGTAGATGTGGCATGAGTTTCATGTTCCTTTCCATTTCTAAATTTATAAATCAAACTCTCAGAGGTTTACTGATGCAAAATGTTCTAATCAAAGACAAAAGAAAAACAAGATAAGTCCTAAGAAGACAATTCCGAACCTCAGAGGTGTGTGGCACACTATCACATCTACTAACACTCTACTGCTGGTTTCCATGCACAGTCACTGCCACAAAACGTGGATCTAGACTTTGCCACAGGTAGCTACACAGAGGGCCTTATGTGAAAGGTGAGAAGAACTTTCTAGACAGATAAACTGTAATGACCTTAAACTCAAACTTAAGGTAATTCTGAGTATGCTTGGGATACCAGCATTTCCCCTACTCAGATTCAGAGAAATTGAAAGACCTTAACTAGGGAAAGCCCTCATGGAGTGCTGGATGACGGCCCCCTGGAGCTGCCAGATACAGATCCCAGGTGAAAAAGCATGGCCAGATCCAGAAAATGTCCTGGCCCTGGACACTAAGGAATATCAGGGAGGATCTAGGAACTGACAAAGACTGAGCTCTACTGTCTGGGAACACCTCTCCAGGAGGATGAGAAGGGCACTAACCCTGCCATACATGCCCTTCCCATTCAACATCCCAGGCTCACCATGGAATAAACATGGGAAGTAGAAGACAGGGAACTGAACAAATGAAGTCTAATGGAGAGACCATGAGCTCATCCATGGGTATATGCCATTCATCATCTCCAAATGAAGTGATCAGTGTCCCAAAACTGACCTGCAACATGCAGGCGGAAGGAGACCCTCTGGTCCCCAGCCTCGCAGCAATACTCCCCTGCGTCCGCCTTACACGCCTGTTGTACCACCAGTTGACGCATGCAGCCTGAGGCTTCCAGGCGCACTTTCGAGCTTGAACTCAACTTCTTCCCGTCCTTGTACCATGTCACCTCTGTCTGGGCCTGGGCCACCTTGCAGCTCAGTGTGGCACTGGCTCCTGCCTCAGCCTTCACCTCACTCCTTGCAGACTGCTCCTTGGCAAACACCACCTTGGGTTCTGAGGACAAAAAGGGACACACAGTCAAAGATACTATCTAGAAGAGAAAGGCCATAGGAAGCAAGGAGGCCTGGACATGACAGCAGAAGGACAGAACCTTCTCAAGGCTCTGCCCTAGTTGAGTGCCCACAACAAGCTCCAGAAACCACCAAAAACCTCACAGTTTATTCACACATACTGCTACTGTGCCATGGGGTCATGCTGGAGTATACTGTGACACAGTCTCTGTGCACAGGCACCTCCAGCGAATCACCTGGCTGGTGATGCATGTTCATCTGCCCCTCTGTGACAATGGAGAGTCTCCCACAAGACTATGCACGTATGTCCTCACCACTGGGCTGAGAGTTCCTGATGTCCCGTGTTTGCCTGCTTTTAGCATCAACAGCCCCTGCATCAGGGGACAGCCTAGACCCTCTGTGGCTCTACTGCCTCTTCCTAATCATGGAGACCTTACAATCTCTTCACATTATCACGTGTTCTCTGTGGTGTCATGATTCAAGGCTCTTGCTCACTCCTCAGTGGCACTGTCTTTCTCTCATTCACTTACATGACTCATTGTATTGTGAGATGTTATGGAACTGACCATCATGTCTGATGTAGATATATTTTTTTATCTTTCACAATGTCATACATTTTTCTCATGAAGTTTCTTCTGCAATGTTTTCAGTTTAAATGTAATGAAGGGTTTATTTATATTGATTTTTATATGTTGTTTTCTTTCTCAACTCTTGCAAAGTCTATTCATTTATCTTTCACCTAAAACATGTCATCTAGAATCTGTTGTTTTTCTCTAACTCTTATATCTTTTTTTGTATTTAGTTCCTAACTGTGCTGTACAATGTTGGCTGGAAGTAGTGGTGGCAGATTCCTTGTGTTGTTCCTGACCTCAAAGTCAACCTTCAAGGGTTCACTTGTGATTTCTTGTGCAGTACTACTTAGAAGTCAAGAAAAAACCTTTTAACTATACTTTATGGCACGACTGATGATACACTACTTTTGAATTTACAATGCTAAGTCTTACCAAATATTTTATGCATAATTTGTCAATCAGATAACATTAAGCTTTATACTGATTTTCTAATGTTCCTAATGGTAAACCAGAGCTACGATCCTGGACTATGAATTTCATCACAGTGTATGATCCTCATGATCTGAGTTCAGCTAACTAATATTTATATCATATTGGCCTTGATATACATAATAGATTGTTCTAAAATATAAATTCTTATTTACTGGTCAGGTTTTAGTACCAATGCTATGCTAATGTACACAAACAGAATTAGAGAGTGCTCCTTTTTCTATTCTCTAAGAGAATCTCCATGAACATAGAATAATTAATTTTCAGATTGTTTGGAGAATTTACCACTGGAGCAACTTGACTAAGATTCTGTTCAATGAGAAATTTTTCTTTTAATACATCTTTATAATAGGTTGAAGGACTATGTGAATTGTCTATTTCTTAATAGGTATTAGTTTAGTTTTACAGAATCTAGAAAATTCATTAAACTTTTTAAATTTATTCACATAAAATAAAGCTCATAGTCTATTAAAATAATATGTCAAAAAGGACACTGTAGATTTTGGTATCTGTACAAGCCAAAAAAAAACCATTATATATAAGTTGAGTATTCTTTACCTATAATATTTCAGGTTACAGATTATTTTGGATTTGCCAATATTTGCACATAAATATTGAGTTTTCTTGGGGATAAGACCAAGTTTAAATACAAAATACAATTGTGTTTCATTAACACCTTAAACACAGAGTCATTTTAACTAACAGATATCCTTTTTCCATGTCTCACATCAGTATCTTTGTAAAAAGGGAGGAGAGGTCTCATTATGCCCAGATAGTGATTAGGCTCCCAGTTCCATTCCTTTTACCTATTTATCTATGCCTGCATTGAACCTGCTCTCCTCAACCCTGTAGCTTCATGACAAGTCTCAATATCAGGAACATCAAAAGTTCTCTTTCTTCAAGAGTCTTTCCTTCACTCGGCACTTGGAATCAACTCGTCAATTTTCACATGCCCATTAGGGGCAAGCTTTTCTTTGATGGCTATCAGGAATGGACATCTTTGGGTCTCTATGCTTAACTCACCATTGATTTGTGTCTTCTCTATTGTCTCCCTATAACAAGTTCCCCTCAGAATCCCAAACATTTTCATGTTCATACATGGAATCGGAAGCATGAAACTAGTAGCTGTGGCAATTCTTTGAAGATATCATTTCCCAACATTGTTGCTGGTGTATCTATAGAAGTGGAGGTCATTGTCTATGACATGTGCTTGTACTTTGCCCAAACTGTGTTGCTTTGTTTCACATTCCTCCTTGTTGGCTGCATGATGCTGCAGTGAATTGTCACAGGAGGGCCTTTGAAATCTCCCAATTAATGGAAAAGCTTCAACATGCATGCATGTTCGAGTGTGACACTTGCTATTTGGTCTCTGTAGCACCCTTCGTCAAATGTAGGAAATCTTATTTTGTTACTACTTCAAGAACTTTTTTGGTGTCAGAGCCTCATACATAACATGAGTGGATGCTAAATTTTTTTGAAGGTACTGTGGTTTTGAACTCAGAACCTTGTGCTTTCTAGGTAGTTATCTTATCACTTGAGCCATACCTCGTATCTTTTTGCTTTAGTATTTTTTTCAGTTAGTTTCATATTTTTGCCTAGAGCCAGCCTGGACCAAGATTCTCCTACTCAAGCCTCCCGTGTACCTGCAATGACAGACATGCATCACACACCCAGCTTATTTATTGAGATTGCGTCTAAGTTTTTTAATACAGGCTGGCCTCAAGCAGAAATTCTCTCAACTCTGCCTCCTGAGTAACTGGGATAACAGGTGTAAGCCATTACACCAGGTTCTAAATTCAATTAGTCTCTTCTAGAGTCTATATTCATTAAACACTTTTTTTGTTAATCTCCTAATGTGAAAGATGATACTGATTTCTCCACCATTCTGATGTTAAATCAGATTTTGCATTTCTGGATTATGGACTGCATTTCAGCACTATGTTCTTGACATATGGCCCTACCCAGTTTGCCAACATTTTGAGTGGACTTTGATATTGTCATCCATAAAAGATTGACCTGCGGTTCCAATTTTTAACACTATCTCCACTACATTTTGGTGTTGCTATTAAACTGTCCACATAAAATGAGTTGGAGAGTATATATCGTTTTTCTTTTTTGGAGGTTTTTTAGGGAAGGGTTTTTACTTTTTTTTTTTGGCAGTACTGGGGTCTTAACTCAGGGCCTCACGTTTGCCAGGCATACCACTTGAACCACTCTGCTAGCCCTTACATCCTTAATTTTCGTTATCATTTATGACATCATCATTTGTTTACACAACTGCTATGCTAAAAAGTATTCATAAACTAGGTGCTGGAGGCTTACACCTGTAATCCGAGCTACTCAGGAAGCAGAGATCAGGATGATGGAAGTCTGAAGCCGGTCGGGGCAAATAGTTTACAAGACCCTATCTCAAAAAAACCCTTCACAAAAAAAGGCTGGCAGCATGGCTCAAGGTGAAGGCCCTGAGTTCAAGCCCCAATACAGCAAAAAAAAAAAAAAAAGCATTCATAAAAGCATAAAAGAAGGGGAATTCCTTTAGTCATGAGTCTGATCATGAGCTTCCTGCTCTGTTCCTTTGCTCCTGCATTTTGGCCTGATTTGTATTGATGTGGGTGTATGTAATCCTTGGAACCTGCTAGACAATTATTGCACTTGGCTCTTCTTCAAGGAGTGTTGGCTGTCTGTGGACTTTCAAATCTTCATAACTTTCAATCCACCAAAGAAAAACATTTTCTTATATTTTTATTAGACATGAACATATCTGGGTATTACATGTGTTTCTATGCATTTATTAGAGCCTTCTTACTATCTCTCAAAAACACGAGGCAACTTTCCTTCATCTGACTCTTCAACATCCTCGTTAAACTTGGAATTTGAAATGATGTCATTGTAAATCTTAAATTATCATTTTCCAAGTAAGTTTCTAGTATAATATGTAGACAGAAGTATTTCTGAAATTTATTTTTCATTAATATGAGTTTTAATGGACAAATAATAACTGTATAATTTATGGAGTACAATGTGATGTTTTGATATATGTACACAATGTACAACAATTAAATCAAGCTAATTAAAATGTTCATCCCCTCACAAACTTATTTTTGTAATGAAACATTTGAAATTTACTCTTGCAGTTATTTTGAAATATAGCAGCAGATGTCAAAACTCATTTCTCATGTGCTATGGTTGGAATGTGGTATGTCTCCAAAAAGTTCATGATGGAAGCTTACTCCTCAGTATGGTGGTGTTGAGGTGCTAGGACTTCTAAGAGGTGGAAGGTAACTGGGCCTCTGGGGACATCATCCTCTGAAGGGATTCATGCTGATCTCAGAGTGAGTTAGTTCCCATGAGAATGGACTGTTATAAAAATGCAAGCCTAGCCCCTCCCCAGTCCCTGGCTTCTGTCTAATCATATGGTCATTCCCACAATTCCACAACTCTCCCAGTTCCACAATTCAACCATTAAGATACTGTTGCCATGGGGTCCTCACCAGAGCCCAGTAAGTGCAATGCCATGCTCCTGAACCTTTTCAAGTATTTTGTTATAGAAACAGAAAATGGACTAGTACATACTGTCTCTCCAAGAGTTTGCACCCTTTGGTCAACAGTTCTTAATTCCCTCTTTCCCCCTACCCTACCACAACCAGCCTCTGGTAATCACCATTCTATTCTGCACTTCTATGAATTCAATTTTTTCAGATTCCACAATAGTTGAGATCATCTGGTTTTTATTCTATTCATCCTCAAAAAGTGAGGAAATTTTTTCATTTGCAACAATGCGGATGAAGCTGAAGGACATACTGCTAAATGAATTAAGCCAGGCCCACAGAGACAAGTACTACATTTTAGTTTTTTATTTAGTACTATGTCTAGCAATTAATATTTTGAATTCTTGATAGACCTTCATAGGATGTGAGTCCCTGTACATTTTTCTAACCTTCAGACTTTTTATTTCCCTCCTTATTCTGCTGCTAGTTTTGGAGGGAAGATGACAGTAGGCTTCCTCATGTTGTTCCCTATCTCGAAGACAAATCTTTCAAAGATCTCTTTAAATGTAGCATTACCTGATATTTTCCCTAGTATTTATCAAATTAAGGACACTCATATATAGTATGTTAAGAATGTTATGGCATAATTGATGCTAAATTTTATCAAACATGACTTCTTGATTCGTAATGTTAAATTTCATTAAACACTTTTATTCTGCATTAGTTGAGACAATCACATTGTTTTTTTCATTCACTCTGACCACATCATGCCACTCTTGAATCTATGACACAATGTCTTCTGCAAGCATCACTGAGTTAAGTTCACTGATCTTGTCCCTTGATATCCATAAAAGACTGGACTGTTACTTTAATTCTAGTCACTTTCTTGTCATATGTCAGTATCTATATTGTGTTTTGACAGAAGACTATTCGGAGAGTCTATGTCTTTTCTTCTACTGTTCAGAAGAATTTCTATGAATACAGAATAATTTCTTTTTCATTTTAATCAACAAAGAATCACATATATTTATACAATACAATGAGATGTTCTGATACATGTTTGCATTGTGGAATGATCAAATCAGAGCAATTAGCATATAACCTCAAATATTTGTCACTTCTTTGTACTGAGGACATTTTACATCCTCTTAGTAGCTATTTGGAAATGTATTACACATTACTACCAGCTATAGTCATCTTATGATGCAAGGAAACACTAGAATTAATAATTTCCTTCTAGAATGTTTGGTAAAATTTACCAGTGAGCCCCTGGACTTACATTTTTCTCTATGATAAGATGGATTTTATGGGTTCTTTTTAAAAAGGCTATAAAACTATTCAAGTGTACTATTTCTTCTTGTGTCACTTTTGATATAGTCTTCTAGAAAACAGTCAAATAGCCATAACTTTTCAAACTCATTACCAGAAAATAATTTGTCATATTCTTTTAAAATAAACTTTTAGCAAAGATCCAGAGTTTTTTGGTTTCTATGCACACTGACAAATCATTGCATACTAAGGCAACACTAAAATGTTTTCTAGTAGCACCCACAGGTCAATGCAGGACTTCTGCCATTGCAATTTGACAATAAGACTCCCTTCATGGGCTGGCAGAGTGGCTCAAGTGGTAGAGCACTTGCCTAGCAAGTATGAAGCCCTGAGTTCAAACCCCAATACTCAAAAAAAAAAAAAAAGACTTCCTTAGTAAAAGGAAATAAATGTATTTCTTAAACAGCTATATAGCCAGCTGGGGAGACAGATAAACTTTTAAGGAATTCTGAGATCTAAATGCTGCATGTAGACGGTGGTTAAATTCTGAGATCTAAATGCTGCATGTAGATGGTGGTTATCGCTAGAGGAACTCATCTCAACTTACAATGGTGGAGATTCCATAAACTACTTTGCTCTTTTTTTTTCTAAATCAAACTCCAAGAAGAATACTAACATAGAATGTTTGAACTTGCCTTTGGAAAACAAGATTTCCTGTGAAAAGAGTGTTCTAATATCACAGAAGCATATATCCATCAGCACTCTTATTCCTTTTTACTACACACAGACAATACAATGTGATAAGGATGTAAACTGCAATAGAAATGGACACACAGAGACTCTGGATATGAAAAATGAAGGAAGAGTGTCCAGACACCTAAAAGTACACTTACCAATCAGATGGCTTACAAAGATAATTAGGTAGTCAAAATTCCCCCTTATTTTATTTCAATGAAATAGAAACAGCTCTCTTTAGCAAGAGCCTTCATGTGTTGCCAGGTCAGGGAATGCAGGAGCTGCCACACTCAGCGGGATATTCATATAGCTCAGGGAAACACATCTGGTCTACCCAATCTTCAATCACGAGGCAGAGCCAGGTGCAGCTCTGAACAAGGCCCTGAAAGTTGCTGGGAATGTGTGATAAAGCATTACCACATAGAAATAACACTCCAGGTACACAAAGATAGCCCCTCTCCCTGCTATTCACATCCTTCCCATTCCTGCCACATAGCCAAGCCTGAGAGACAAGGAGACTGGTGAGGTGGTGTAATGCAACAACACCAGGGTCCTTCAGGATTATTAGTCAGTCTCAGAATCTCTATCAAAGAAGGAAATTTACTGTCCACAAAGAACTGACCTGAGATGTTCAGGTGGAAGGATATCTTCTGGCCTCCAGCTTCGCAGCTGTATTCTCCAGCATCTTCCTTGCCTGCCTGCTGCACCACCAGTCGCCGAGTGGAGCCTGAGGCCTCCACACGCACTTTTGAGCTTGAGCTCAGCTTCTTCCCATCCTTGTACCACGTCACCTGTGTCTGAGCCTGGGCCAACTTACAAGTCAGTGTAGCACTGTCCCCTGCTTCAACCTTGACTTCACTCATTGCCGGCTGTTCCTTAGCAAACACCACCTTGGGCTCTGGGGCTAGACAGGAACACACAAGATTAGAGATACTATCTAGGCCAGAAGGGCCACATGAAGGAAATAAGACCTAGATGGGACAGCAATAGGGGACAGACCTTCTCTAGGCTCTGGACTAGTTGTGTGCCTAGGGCAGGCCCCAACACCTTTCAGCACAAACCACCACTGCTCTTTAGGTTATTTTTCAGATAGATCTCACTTTTGCCCTGGGCCAGCCTTGAACCACAATCCCCAAACCTATGGCCTCCCACATACCTGGAGTGTCACACATGCACCACTTATCAGCTGAGATAGGGTCTTACTAACTGTTTGCCTGGACTGGTCTTGAACCATGATCCTCCTGATCTCTGCCTCCCAAATAGCTAGGATTACAGACATCAGGCACAGTACACAGCACTGTTTTAACTCTTCATATTTACCCTGTCAGATTTTTGGCAATAGTGAGTTGGAGCACTATTTCCTCTTTCAATACCCAAGAAGAATTTCTAGGACCTTAGAAAAACTTACTTTTAGGATATTTGGTAAAATTATCAGTACAACTACAGAGCTTAGATAATATGAAAGAAAGTCCTTGATTAGCACAATCCCATTTCTTTAAAAGGTTAGAGGATGTTCAACTATTTCTTTTTGCCGTTTTCTAGGAAATGGTCAATTTGACAGAACTTTTCAAATTCACTTGCATAAAACAGTGGTATATTCTATTAATAACGATTCAAATACACACAATGTGGAATTTTGTTATCTGATATTAGACTCTCTCATCAAAGGAAAATAAAGCTGATTCTCAGACTCCCCTCTCAACCAGCCAAGGAGGAGCACACATAGACAGATACAACAGTGCTATGTAGTGGCTTCACCTATTTGTGGCAGTGTCTATAGTACAGTGATGTGGCTTAATCTCTTTTCATTTCTAAATTTATAAATCAAACAGCAAAGGTAATATGTATATGCATAGAGAGAGCGTCTATCCATGAAGATAGAGGGAAGAATGTCCCAGAAACCTAAAACTGATAATCCTAACTTCTCCAGGTAAGAGACATCTAGTCTACCTCAGCTCCACACAGCAGTTAAAGCCAGAGACTGGGATGCCAGGGACTACCTGTGAGTTTTTAGCAGGTTCAAGCAAATGTGACTAAGCATTATCACATGGAAATACAACTCATGGTATACAATAATGGCCCCTCTGCCTTCTGTATGCATCTCTCCATCCCAGACCCTGGGAACATGACAATTATAAAAATGACAGGTGAGCACAGGAGGCCTCAGGAGATGAAGTCATATGAAAAGATCACCAGTCTCTCCCAGCCATCACTCAGGTCCACATCAAACAATGGCAAGTTGGTACCTCTAAAGGACTCACCTGCAATGTCCAAGCAGAAGGAGACTCTCTGTCCCCCAGCCTCACAGCTATATTCCCCAGCATCTGCCTTGCTTGCCTGCTGCACCACCAGCTGTCGTGTGCAGCCTAAGGCTTCCATGCACATCTTCGAGCTCGAGCTCAGCTTCTTCCCATCCTTGTACCATGTCACCTCTGTCTGGGCCTGGGCCACCTCACAGCTCAGTGTGGCACTGGCCCCCACTTCGGCCTTCACCTCACTGCGTGCTGGCTGCTCCTTGGCAAACACCACCTTGGGCTCTGAGGACAGACAGGGATGCAGAAGGTCAGATATACTGTCTAGGACAAGAAGGCTACTTGAAGGAAAGAAGGCACAGATGGGATGGCAGAAGGTCAGAAACTTCTTAAGGCTCTAAACTAGCAATATGCCTACAGCAAGCCCCAGAACCTCATCAAAAACCACCAGTTTCTCCACATAGCCTGCCACTGCTCCATGAGATTGTTCTAGGGACACTGTGACATAATCTCTGTGCACAGGCTCCTCGAAGTAGCCACTTGGGTCATGATGCATGTGCACCTGCCCTTCTGTGACAATGGAGAATCTCCCACAGAACTGTCCTCACCACAGGGCTGAAAATCCTCAAGGTCCCACACACTTGCCTCCTCTTAGCATTATCAGCTGCTACATCTAGGTAGAGCATGGACCACCTATCTGCTTTGTCCTGATCATGGTGACCTTCCTATGTCTTTGACCATTAGTGTTTGTTCCTCTGTGGTGTTGCTGTTTGAGTTGACCTCCACTTTCAGTAGCACTGCCATTTTTTGTTTGTTTGTTTTGTATTTATTTTAAGAGCTCTACTTACATGCTAGAGAATTTCTTTTCCCCCATTGTGTGGCTTGTGGATTCATTCCCAAATGGTGTTACTAAGGTTTAGATGTGGTGGGTCCTCCAGAGGAGGAAGCTGAGCCCCCATGTGGTAGTGCTGAGGTGGGGAAACTTTAAGAGGTGGAACCTAGTAGAAGCTCACTAGGTTGTGGAGTCCATCCTCATAAATAAATTAATGCTGTTCTAAAAGAGTGGGCTAGGTCTTCCAAAAGTGGATTAGTTCTTACAAGAGCAGATTGTTATAAATTTACATGTATTTGACCTCTTCTGCATCTAGCAGGTTCCCTTTCTTCCTTTCTACCACATTGTGGCACTGACACCCTCACCAGGACACTGTCACCATGCTGTCTGAACCTTCCTGCCATCATAATAATTAACCAACTCTACCTCTTTTATAAGCTCAGTTAATTTTGAGGTGGCAACACCAAGCAGACTACAACAAATGTCTTCTAATGTATCTGTTGATTTTTATGCAGCAAAATATGTCATTCTTGCTCCATTATGATTAGTGTACTTATTTCCTGTCAGAACCCTTTCCTTGCCTAAATAATCCATGTCATCATCTAAGAGTATTATGGCTTACCTGAGGACCCTGAGGACTCTAATTCACCTGTAATTGACCTCTGTACACTGTGTGAGCTACCATACAACTTTTTGTTTCCATATTGTATAGGACCCAAAAGCCTTCATGAAAAGGCAGCTCTTTCCTGACATCTGTACAAACATGTGGAGGGAAAGTAAGGGAATGTATTTATGCACAAGTCTGTTTTAAGAACTCAGTATTCTATTCCTCTGATCTATTTATCTCCATAGCTATTTTGTTACTGAAGATTTATAATAATGTTTGACAACTCTAGGGAAAATGCCCACACTTTCTCCTCCTTTAAGAGTATATAGGTAGCATTTGGCTTTGGAATCTGCTTATTAACTGTGGTGCCCCCCAAATTCACACAGAATATTTATTTGTATTTTGAAAGCTAATGATCATCTTGGATTCTTCCCTGTATTTATATCCATTTATTTAGATCATCTTTAATGTCTCTTTAAAATGTTTCATCTTCCTCTACAGAAAGCTCTTAAACATCTTGTTTTACACTTGGAATCAAAAACTTTGGCACCTTTTTATATACATACTGGTTGAGCATCCCTAACCCAAAAAAAATCCCAAATTCAAAATATTCCAAAACCTGAAACCATTTAAGAGCCTACATGGTAGCACAAGAGGAAAATTGCACTCCATGAACTTTGCTCCAAGCACAGAATTTTTAAATGTACAAAAATATCTCTAGGCTCTGTTCATGAAGTGTACATGAAATATAAACAAATTTTAGGGAGGTAGAGCATGATGGCCGATTAGAAGCATCCACTCTTTTGACTCCATGAATGAAAAGAGTCAAATAGCACAGGAGAAACTATACTCTGAAGAGAGAAAGAGAAGAAGAGCATCAGGAATCACAAAAGAGGTAGCAGGATGGCAGAAAATATGGAGAACCCCAGACAACAGAGAGAAGCAGCCAACAGTTCCAAGCCCAACTCCATCCCCACAGGAGGGGGAGTGGAAGCTGAAGATGCACTCACAAAAAAAGACACACAACCCTGGCAACAGACTGGATATTCTAGCCGCAAGGGGAGCCCACATCTCACGCAAGCCTTAAACACAATACAGGGATTTTGTGAGACAGTAACTGCTCCAGTGTGGATGGCTAGCCTCAGTGAAGAGAGACATTCTGTTGCTCCCATTATCTCATAAAGACATCATCTTGCAAGAGGGTCCATTGTTTGAAATCAAGTTACTCTGGAAGCTTGGAAACATCATGGCTTAGGGAGGCTTTCCACCCTGCCATGGTGTCTGGGTGGAAAACAACTACAAGAGATTGTCATGGAGAGGGAGCGGGTCAGACATGGTCTCCCATAGAAGTTCTAGCAGCAGGGAGCTACAGTAGCAAAGGTTACAGTGACTGAAAGCCTTGCCCAGGGGACAAAAGCATCAAGCCTTTGGCTGCCCTAGTATTTGGCCTCCAAGATGTGCTTCCTGGCAGCATGTATTGACTGCTAGGTAGGTCAGAGCTCTGAGTTCACACCCTCCAAATCACATAATATCTACTGCTTCCTCCCCACAATAGGGAGGTGAACTGCTGGGCAGAGTCTGAAAGCAATGAGGCCCACCACCGCACACTGAATCCCTCCATCTGTTTCCTATCAGGCAGGTCTGAGGGCCCCAAGTTCACGCTTTCTGAATCACGATTTCCAAACCCTCCTCTCCCACACAGGGAGTAATACTGTTAGGTGGGGTCTGAAAGCATTAAGACCTGCTTCTGGGAAATGCATCCCAGAGGATATGCATTTCTTGTGCAATAGCTGCCAGGCCCATCTGAGAGACCAGAGCCCAGACACCCAAAATCACAGACTCCTCCCATACACAGGAAGGGGAACTGCTGGATGGGGTCTGAAAGCACTGAGACCCACCACCAGGAACTATACTCCAGCATGTATTTGCTACTAGGTGGGACTGAGAGCCTGAGACCACACCTTCTGAATCATGAGACTCCCATAGCCTCCTCCTCTTCACAGGAAGGTACACTATTGGACAGGGTCTGTAAACTTTGAAACCAGCTGGCAGAGATCCCAGGTCCCTCATTTCTCCTTCAGCAGGTGTAGAACTCAGTGCTCTGTTTTCTCCCAGACTCTGCCACACTTTCATGGGTTACCCTGAGGCTTGCTGCCCCTGTATACACAAAACTGGGGGCACATGTGAAACAAGTGGAAACCTGCCCAGCCCACAGGCAGCAGTGGCTCCAGCAGCCAGCAGTGGCTCCCAGAACATAAAGAAAGAAAACTTTTATAATGAAAGCAGCTGAGAAGCAGACAACTGGCCCTTCTACAAGAGACTCTGACAAATTTACCTGAATTTGAGTGAGCAGTACTGGGGATCAGGCCCAGTGTCATGAGCATGTAGGCAAATGCTGGGTTAATGAGCCATACCACCAGTGTAGAAACAGCACCTCAACACTGTCCTGCATGAACCTTGAGAATCTTTCAACTGAAAGACTGCAGGTGATTAAAACATCCAACCAACTACCTGGCCTCAGATGTGTAAATCCCAATGCAGAAACACAAGAGATATGAAAAAGTAAGGCAACATGATACCTCCATACTCACAGTAACAATGACAGTGAACTGGAAGAAATCTCAAAGAAAAAATTCAAAACAGTGATTATAAAAATGATCAACAGACATGAATAAACACCTGAATGAATGCCAAGAAAACTCAAATAAAGAGCTAAATGAAATAAAGAAGACAATGCGGGACATGAAAGAAGAATGCAATAAAGGTAAAGAAATTCTAGAAAAAAAATCAAATTGAAATTCTGGAAATGAAAAGTTCAGTAAGTTAAATAACAAACTCAGTAGAGGGCTGGATACAGTGGCTCATGCCTGTAATCCTAGCTACTCAGGAGAATCAAGGTTCAAGGCCATCCCCAGCAAAAAGTTCACAATATCCCCATCTCAACCAATGGCTGGGTGTGGTGGCATGTACCTGTTATCCCAGCCATTTAGGGAAGCACAAATAGAAGGATCACCCTCCAGGCCAGCATAAACATAAGGAGAGACCCTATATTTTAAAAAAGCTAACTCAGTCGAACACCTGTGGCTCCTGCCTGTAATTCTTGTTACTTGGTAGGCAGAGATCAGAAGGATCACATTTTAAGGCCAGCCCAGGGAAAAAGTGAGACCCTATCTTGAAAATCCAATATAAAAAGGGCTGATGAAGTGGCTCAAGTGGTAGGGCACCTCCCTAGCAAGCATGAGTTCAAACCCCAGAACCACAAAAAAAAACCCCACTGAGTTGAAAATCTCTCCAGTTAACTGGATTAAATCAAAGACATAATATCAGGGTATGAAGGCAAAGTATATGTGTTAGAAAATGAAGATAAACATAAAAGAAAAAAACTAAAGAAGTATGAACAAAACATGCAAGACTTCTGGAATACCATTAAAAGACCAAACCTATGAATCATGGGATTAGAAGAAGAAAAAGTGTAAGTCAAAGGCATAGAAAACATATTCAACAAAATAATACTAGAAATTCTCCAAATCCTGAGAAAGAGATGGTTATTCAGGGACAGGAGGCTTTTAGGATTTCAAACAAACAAGCAAAAAAGAATCTCTCCAAAGCATATTATAGTTAAAATAGTAGGCATACAGAAGAAAGAATACTGAAACCTACAAGAGAAAAGCACCAAGTCACCTATAAAGGCAAATTCTTCAGAATACCACAGAAACTTTAAAAGTAAGGAGGGCATGAAATGAGGTATTTCAAGCCCTGAAATAAAATAATTCTCAACCTAGATTATTGTACCTAGCAAAGCTATCCTTCACAATTGAAGGAAAAATAATAACTTTAAATAATAAGCAAAACTAAAGCAATTCATGACCACTAAACCAGTGCTGCAAAATACACTTTAATTCTACACACAGAAGAGGAAGGCAAATGTAATCACAAAAATATGGGAAAGAATAAATCT